TTAATATTAAACCAGAAAGACCAATTGAACATAAAAACGTTACAGGTATCACGAGATTGTAGAAAAAACAATAATTCAGTACAATTTTAATTAAATTATCATTAAAAAATGTATTTCCACTCAATAAACTGACACTGTAGTTGACGTAAAAAATATATCGTCTATACTTAAATATACATATATGTATATATGAGACATTGACTTGACTCTGGCAGTAACTACTCAAGTCAATTAATTTCCAAAATAACCTATATATAAGATGTCACTGGCAGAAAAATTCTTAAAAGAAATAATATCAGTGTTTATCGACATGCGTGAATTTGTCAGTCAGTTTTATAAGAAAAGACAAAAAATTTCATATATACCATAGACAACGTTGACGAAGCTTTTTCGTTAATTGTTTGATGAACCCTGGGCACGTCGTGCCCTCCCTTCACCCAATTGCTAGCTGCTTCCTCTAGGTAGGTTAGAGGAAGTATTTTTCGCTTATTTCCCAAAAGGTCAAGAGTTCAAGATAGCATTTCATACAGAGAACCTTCTAATATGTTAACTGTTATTAATATAATTATATCAAAAACCACGTGTCATTAACTAAGCATTGCACTGTTTACGGACTGTCAAAAAAAAGATCCAACACGTGGACCGACTATATACATATATACATATGATTTATTAATGGTCAGATATTTTTATAATAGTGCACGTATGTTCTCTCAGACAATTTATCGGACCAGAGGCCCTCGAGACTCTCGAGAACACTCGAGATGAAAATTAGGTTTGCTCTTTATTTAAACCTGAGCTCGGATTGGGTCAGAGGTTAAACGATCGATCGTTTATCGTAATATACGACCGAGCATAAACATCACGTTTCCACGATAAGTAGGGAAACGCATACTTTTGTGGGCTTAACGCGTCTCGTTTCCGCAAAAAAAAAAAGCCAATGGGAAGAAGTGAAATAAAAAATTAATCATCATTAAAAATTAATTATAATTACGGAAATTAAAAATAAAAATTATTATCCTTACGTAGAATGATTAGGAATACATTTTCTTTTCACTTTTTTCATTGCTCTAGTCCAATTCGAACGGAACTTAGAAAATATAAATGCAAAGAGAAATTATTAATTTGATATTTTATTTTTACGAGAAAAAATTCCTGCTCGGTTTAACACTGTCGGGACGTGACGTCATGTATTAGAATTTCTCAAACGACTCGCACAAATAAAAGGACTGCGGTCATTGTGGGGAAGAACGATACGGATGAACAGGGAAAAGCAAAAAGTCCAGACAGAATGGTAGATAAGGAACACATAGTGGGGATAATAGGTAGAGGAATAAAGTAAAAAAAAAAGAAGAGTGGTAACTTCAGCTACGTTATGTAATTTCTTACGTAAGACAGGAAATTAATTTTATCAGACATCCTATTCGAATGAAATGATAAGAAAAATATGTTCTCCTATGAAAAATAAAAAAAAAAAGAAATTCAGAAGTTATATATGTATAGGAATTTTATCGAACAAATTTTTCGATTTTTTTTTTCAACATTTACAGGGGGTTGATTAGTTATCAAGGTGCTTACCAATCGACTAGTTGAGTCAACCTTCTCATATTACTAATTGATTCGCAATGGCTATTATCAACAAGGCTATAGCTCTACCAAGTTAATAAGTCAATGTAGTCGATGAACGTTACCAAAGAAGATAAAGGTTAGGCAGGTCCTCCAACTGACTAATATCCAGCTAATGAAATAATAAATAAGGGTGCGGCACCCCTGGCCATTTTACCGATTTATAACGGGCTGCCGATGACGTGCCTACGATTTCCCCGAAATTCTCTCCACCTTGACGTCATTTTGGTGACCTTTTCTTTTAATAGACGATACTGCTGTATAGGTACCACGAGGATTAATTCAATCGTGCCTAGACAAGGGTAGTTACTTGCTTTAGCATTATCCAAGCTTATAGGTTGGTAGAACTGGCGAATATAATAATTTGTTGGTACTTAATCCTGGGCCTATAGGAAACTGTTGTATCGTTGATTATGGCGGGAATATTTCAATTGCTTATTATTGGACGGATATAAAGTGCTTATGGGAGATAGATGAAAATTAATAGAATTTATTATGTGTATCGCAATCAAGATTATTCTTATATATTATACCGATTAAGTTTTTCCTAGTCAATATATCGACTATCCGGTTGGAATTATGAGTACCGTGCAATAAAATAATGAATTACGCGACTGACGTTATTAATAATTTCTAACAATTTTTATTAATAATAATTATTCAACGAGTAACTAAAAATCTCATAAAGATATCTTGGTATTAACGTCACATAAAAAGTGTAAGACCTAAGAATGAAAGTGAGAGAATTTGTAGAAATTTTTTCGGATTAATTATTTTTTTTGGAGGTTTCGTAAAATTTATATATACATATCTTTTTTTTAATACAATTTTATTGGCAATCAGACGTTACGTTGATATTGATATAATGGCAATAAAAGAAAGGCTTGTCTTACGAGCATTCTCGCGTAGAAGTTTCTCCCGACATCAAAGAATCGAAGGTGCCAAGAAAATAATTAAATCATTTACGTTTGATTAAATAAAAGCATCGTTCGCATGAACGAAGTGGAATAATCAAAGGCGTAAGTCATTCAATTAAGATAATCAATAGGTACTGCTTTTAATGTGATTCAAGCTTACAAGAATTGAAGACCGGAAGTCGTGTCTTTTGAATAAGAAATTAAATTCTAAAAATTCAGTACCTACCCTTGCTTCTATAGCCGCATTCGCAAAGGGGCGTTCACGGTGAATAGCGGCGAGAAATTTTTTTTTCCACGATCCATCCCTCTCCCATGAAAATATATTTGACCTAAGGGTGTAATTTTTTCTCACACCTAATTTTCCCACCCCAAAGTGGATATTCGTAAAGCTTTCGAAGATTCTTCAAAAAGATTTGATTGCGAAAATCGAATCATTTTTCCCACCCCAATGAATCACCCCTAATTTTCTCCTAACCATCTCAGAGGGTCCAGCCGTCGAGTTGCCGAATTAAATTATTCGCTTAAACGAGAGTGTCAATCACAGACGCGCAGATAACAGCTGATCTTGTGTAACGACAGATACTAAACTTTTCAGCCTTGGTCTCTTGAAGGGGTTGATACGCATTATTGTTATCGTCTTCTACGCTGTTGCATAGCTTTTAGTCCGATTGATCGTCACCAACACAATTAGCCTAAGAGCAACCCCGTAGAGGTGTTTTTCTAGTGTATACCAACCCTTTTGACAGTATGGTTTATTTTCAAGTAGGGCGGTTATTTGAGAAATGACTTTTAAACTCGGCGAAATTACAAAAATGTCCATCGGAGTGCATTCGAAAATTGGTAACGGAATAGGAATCGACTACCCTGGTCAACTCTCCGTAAATGATTTATTAATACAGTAATCCCATAAAGAAGGGATGAACGCGGCAGCCATTTTAAGTTTGACAAACGGCCAATTAAAATGTACAATTTTTCATCCCTGGCTATGGATGAAAATCAACCTTCCCCTCCCGCCCCTCCTCGATCTCTTTTTCTGATATTTAGCTGAGAGCATTTTTAAATTTTATTCCCTAAAAAGATTATAATTGTCCGAATGATGTTCGGATCGTCTTACTTCGACCCTAATGTCAAAAAGGGCATAACGAGTTGAACGATCAGAAATGAATTTTAATCAGAGAAATACAAGCGCGAAAGTTAAACTTTTTTACCCGCGTTGTGGATCCTCGAAAGTTTGACAGTTTCCCTCAGGATCTAATTAATCGAAATTGAAAAACCTTTCACCCTCGTCAACCCTTGACCATATGGTAAGCATGAATATGTCGTTTCCGGATTGTCGAACGTCAAGGGTAAGATTGACGTTTTAATTAGACAATATATGTATATAACGTAACATAAGCGAATCGTCCGTTGCGAATAGCCCAAAAGATAAAGTGCGACGCGACTTAAGAAACTGATAACCCATCGGCGATCTATTCGCGATTACTTAGCGCGGGAGATACAAAAGTTTAAAAAGCGCCATCGTTAGCGTCTGAACAAGAGATTTTTATTTAGCGTACACACGGTATATATAAATATATATAAACTTGTCGAAGGGCAGGTACGAGAACATTGACGATTAAGCGGCATTCGCAACGACAAGTTAAAATATGTTTTCTAAAAAGAAATTCGAACCTTGAATGATCCAGCATTGAAACTCTAACCTAACTTAGCTTAACGTAGCTTTAATTATATTAATTAAGATAAACGAAGCCACTCGTTAAGTATCGAATGCCATTAACAGATTAAATTTATCTTAAGACAGCCCAAGCCATGATCTTGATCGGCTGATATTTTTGGCACGGTCGAAAACCAACGGGAAGATTAATAATAATTTATTAGACGGAATTAGTTACCAACTGTGAACACAGCTTACAGAAACGCGTGGCTGCGCATAATTATGCCCCGTTCGTACGCCAGAAGCTGTAAGAACAATTTCAAGATTTTCCACCTTTAAATTTCCCGCCTAATACGACGGAAGCGCCGCTCAACGCTCGTTACCGCAGTGGAGAATAACGGTAGCTTCGTTTAATTCATCAAGACGTCCTTTTTCCTCTCTCTACCCATTCGTTAATTAAACTACTGTGTACGTTGCTTTATCATTATTTAGCTGCTACGTTGTGAATCATTAAAGAAGTTCTAACCGACCGTAAATACGTGTGGCTTCGGTTTAATATAGCAGGCAGCCATGACACGTATGAATTATACAGACATTACGGTATTGAACAAGGAATTGAAAAGCCATAACGAATTTTCGAATTTCTTCACTAGGAAAAAAGAAAACAAAAAATATTAAAAAAAGATTTAAGATTTTTCGACAAATTTTAATACTTCTTGTCGTGCCGTATTATTTATGTATACGCAAACGATATATCTATTTATAAACCACTGAATTATAATACAGTGAATCATCTGTTACAGGAAAACAATAAATCCTGGTATTAATGAACACCGGACGGCTGTAGTGGATGAAGGAGAACATTTTTTTTTTTAAGAACTACAAAAGACCTCATGGCGGGACACGTAAGTTTTCTATGAAATCGTTAGAGTGACGTCACTGTATGGATTATTCTTTTTTTTTTTTAACTTGCATTTTAATGAACACATTGTCTATGCGTAAACTCATTAACGTTCACAATTAATCCAATCTAGTCATGCATTGAATTTATATTATGTATAGTCGGTGTATAATTCAAAGTAAACTTTGGGGTGACGTATACAGTGAAAAACGAAGATTCACGAAAATTCACGAAGTTAGTCGGAATTGATGGTGAATTTTTTTCTTCATAAAAACTGGTTATAAAGTGATGAATAACACGCGATTCGTTTTAGGCGACGCCAGAAGTGGATCGTCGACCCCGACGCCGGGCGTCGTTCTCGACGCTGACTGCTGCCCCTACGAAATAACGTATGAGTAGGGGATCATCTAAACAAGAATTTCAGTGACCTTCCTATGACATTGTTATATGCCGACAATACGTCGCGTCACCTTTGACATGCCAACGAATTCCCGATTGCAGTGACGCGTGTATACGGGTAGAGAAACGAGGGTAGATGTAAAACTGATAAATTTTTTGTCGCGAGACACATCTGAAAGGGCTCAAAATATCAAGTACCATTGTTTATGAAGAAGATCGTGGCTTAATATCGATTGACGTGTACACGACGCAGGGAACAGATGAAATTATGAAAACTAATAGGAAGGATGATTTAAAAAATTATGAAAAATAAAAAAATATTCTATATTCTCCCGAAGCCATTAGCTGTATTTAATAACCATTAGGCCTTACGAAACCCTTGTAAAATGGGTGTACGTATCAGTACGTAATTAACGTAAAAGGGTAACACTTTCTGTTTCTATCGCTTAATGAAAGTTGACGTGCGACTCTCGCGACCTCTCACAGATGGCGGAACGGTCGACAGCCGTTAGATGGAAGGTTTGAATTCCTGAGGTGAATAAATAACGCAAAAAGAAAGTCACGGGGGCTGCGAGAAGGTAACCCCTAAACGATATACGGTGTGGGTGAGTTTCCATATCGCTACGAAGTATGAGAATTACGTGAACAGAGAGCCATAAGAATGGCAGTTACATCTGAACGACGCAAAAGCGATAGGCGTCCATTTTCGTATCGATTATATCGAATCGTATCGCAACTTCTTTTATTAATTTTTTGCCTTCTCATTCCCATTTTCATTTTATCGTTCGATGATAAAAGCTTTTAAAAAATCTTTCGCTTGTCCGTAAAGCTTTCGGGTAAATTCGCCCATACGTATTCACCCATAAATATGCCGTCTCTTTTCTTTCCAATACACGTAATAAAATCTGCGGTGCCGCAAAGACGAACGATATTCGCGCATTAATAGGCGACACGAGGAAAATTTGAAATACGCGTGACTCTTTTGACGTATCTTGACGAGTTGCACAAGCCATGACGCAATTTACATGAACGTCGGCACAATTTTGTCCGTCAAGTTTATTTCTAGAAAGACGACCTGAAATAATTGCCAGACTTCCGTAAGACCCCAAGAACAACCAGGACTCAGTAAGACTTGAGGATTTGGCAACGGACATACCGACGTGTACACGCAAATGGATATCAGACCAAAAATTATGAAAGGGTTCACGTAGTTTTTATTTACAAGAGAAAAAAAAGCATTCGCTACAAAGAAGAGTTTGTCGTAACTCGAATTACTTTTTGGAGTTTTTTTTGTGCAGTTTTTTTTTTAAATTAATTTTCAGCCATCGAACGTCCCTCTTATTTCGAATGACTTGACTCTCGTTAAAATTATAATTAATCCTCTGTCCATAATAATCCCCTAAAACGAAATCCTCCAAATAGGATTTTACGCGAGATTTTTTTGTTCTTTCATTGATTACCATAAATTTCCTTATCTTATTTATTTATTTTTTTTTTACACAGGACGATCCTGACTTCACCAGTCCTCTTCTGCAAGATCAGATGCTCTGGAAGGAGGAGCTGCGATGTCGCAGTGAAAATACAACGCGTGAGGGTGAGTAAAAGTAAAACGAAAAAAAAAGACGTAATGTTTCCTTGTACTTCGGTGCATTCATTTGCGACGTCCATTGTGTCATTATGTTAATTATGTCGAGCATCGTAACGAAACTCTTGTTTTTTTTATTTATTTATTTGTTATATAACTCAAACTTTATAAAGGGTCTCGCTAATTATGAGAAAATTAATGCACCCATGATTTCTAGGACGATGGGAAAGTTACGTAGCTGAAGGGATTGTATTAAGTAAAATTAATTAGCGGTTCGGGACGACGGGCGTCGGGACGCCGTGAAATAATAATAAACTCCAGTAACCACTGTCCATGTACGCTTATGCGAATCTGCCATTATTCGACACCCTAAATATCGTCCATTCAAAATATTTTGCAAAAAATCGACGTTTTACAGTTTTTGAAAAAAAGGTTTTTGAAAAAAAAAAAAGTATTTTGCGTCATCGCGACACATTAGTCGCTTCGAAATACGATAAGCAAGAGTGGATATATATTTATAAAAAGAAAATGCTGGCTCCCACGCAAAAGTGCTGAATTCCATGAATTTTATTAAGACGAAAAAGAAAAAAATTTCAAATTTTCAACAGCTTCCCTCTCACTGCAGGTAATAAGTTGACGGGAGGAAGATTTCCTGTCCGCCCCCATATTTTCATCTGACCGAAACACCTGTGACATAGAGAGAATTCCAAGAATCGGCAAGAATGAGAAAAAAGATCCGCGTTTTCTACCATTTAGTCGGAAAAATTCAAGAAAAAAAGTAATATAATAAATATATGCAAATAAATATATAAATATATACCACAGCTTTGAAAGATTAACAAGACGTAATACGAATCCTCGTTAGATAGAAAATTCTCCTCCTGTTTCGAATTCCCAGCGACGCCTTCGTCCCTTATAGACACGCAGCAGTTACGACCAATCGCTATTACGAAAATCAATAAGAATTCAGTAACTTCAATTTTCTTCACGAATCAAACACTGCAGGTATATATTACAGGGACAAATTCTTCCTAGAGAATTCAAAAGTACGCATACGGCATATATAGGTCATTATATTAAATAAATCGTTAACTAAGTTTGAATGAGAATAAAAAAACAGAAGAAACACTGTCCGCCATTTTTTAATGTAATTTGATCCATATACAATTTTCGACAGTGCATAAAATACATTTAAAAAAAATTGCGTCCACTCTTTATGTCTGCGTCCTGCATGACCATTCAGAATAATAATATCTATACAACGAAGGAACAAGTGAAAAAAAAGTTTTCTAGAGAATTAACCCATTAACGCCGAGGTGATCAGAATTTTGACTAACTTTTCAACGTGTTTATTTATTATGTTATCAGACCAAAAAAATAATGCAATAACTCTATTCCTACGCGAAATTTGATGCTCTTTCAGAATCTGAGCTCAAAATTTCGATTAGACACCGAGAAAAAAAAATATGGCCGATTTAAACGTGAAAAACGTGAAAATTTTCGACAAAAACATTTTTTCGCATTTTTTTTCACAATGATAACGCAAAGGTATTAACTTTTTACTATGATCAGAGGTGATCATGGCACTCGAACATTAAGAGGAATTTTTTTCAGAAAAATTCATCAATGCGTTTTTTCAAAATGGCGGCGAGAATGAAAAAAAGCCAAATACCCAGCACAAATTAGAAAAATGTCGACGAGACGTATTCGAAAGGGGTTATATTCTAGCTTTTTGACGTCTTATTGACATCTTATGTCTAAATGACGTTTTTCTGACGTCGGATATCTGTAAGACGACAAAATCCAGGACATAAGACCTTCAGATAATGTTGTGCGAACGCTTTTTTCTAAATTTGTATTACCTGGGAAGTTAAACGGTAATCAGGAACGAATTTGTTGGGGCCCTTGGGTAAAAGGTCGAATTACCTTGAAATTACATTTTCAGAAACTCCAAAAAGCTGAAACCTGTAAGTACCCATACAGGCTGAAGGAAAAGTGGATGAGAAAACAGGTTGCAAAACTTTGGCACGACTTGGTACAATGCAGAAACTCTATGTCTATACATTCTCGAACTCTCGAACTTTCAAAGACTTTTGTAATACGTATTGTGATTTCTCGAAGAAAAGGGATTTCTTTTTGCGTAATCTTATTGTTAGTTTAACGAAACCAATCATCAAATTAAAGTCAGTAAGAATTTGTAGGAGTACTTATAATACATTATATATACCTATATATATAATACTGTATTGACTGAGTTGCCCTAAATTTCATAAAAGATTGTATAAAGCTTTTTGAAATTTTTGGCGTGAGAATCTGTCCGATTTAAATATTTATGTTATGACGTTTTAAAGTTTCATGATCATTCATACTGTAGAATTGCAATTAATATTTGATGCAATTTAATACGCTCGGATGTAATCTGTATACTAAGTAAATGCACATGTGGAAAATGTTGGCCTGGAGCAAGTATCTACCGAGTGACAATTTATTCCGAAGTTGGCAGTACTGACGTGAATGCACAGAGGTTAGAAGGGTTGAAAAAATGTGAAAAAAGCTGCTGGCAATAGTTGACTATTAATCTTGTCCATATTGACAGTTTTAGAAGGGTGAAGAAAAATCGTGACACGAAAAAATGTTTGAAAATTCTTTGTGCTTTTCTTCGTAGAAAAATTCCTGGGCGAGGGACAGCAAAAACAGAAATCGATCAGGAGAGAGGAAACTGTTGAGAAATAGGAGCAAACAATTTTGAGGTTATGGAAGAAATTTTGAATTTTATTGGCCTATTTAACTTTTGTAGTATTATCTTCAAACAAATGGAAGAGTGAGCATTGGATAAAACTACTCGTATAATCTTGCCGAGATTATATTTAGGATATCAGTTCGTATTTTGCAATAGGAAGATATAACAAAATTACTAGAGAAAGTGTCAAACCAAATGATAACTCTTTAGTATTATATCACAGTCACTTATAAGTACGAACAATACCTTTGTATGTATCGTTATTTCTTGAACACAGGTTAGACACACTTTGCTGCCTCGACATTGTCACGAACATATGGGAAGGTGAGAATACACGCGCACATAACCTCTACGACTTAATGGGCTGTCAATGTTGCGTGGCAAATTGCTTGGGCGAGTTCTCAAAGTCAGTTGAAAGGGAGCTGGAAAACGTAAATAGAATATGTGGGAATCGTTTCAGTGGAGAATTCAGAAAATGAGTTAAAAAGTTTATATTGATTAAAAAGGGGTATGACGATACAATCGACATTCCAAAATTTGACAATGGAAAGAAAAACAAAATTATTATTATATTGGACATACTAGATACTATGCAGATACTTCGTGTTCCAATATTTATGTAAATATGAGCATAGCCTTAAGCTGTATATATAGATAGTCTGTTTACATTTATACGTCCATATAGATATTTGCCCATACGATCCTGATGAATTTACATGGTCATTGAAAAACCCACCCTTCGAGTTTAACCGCAAATCCTAGCCGGTTCTGTAAATACACCAATCCAATATGCGAACTTTCAAATGCATTCCATTGACATTTTCGTATTTTTAAATTTGTTTTTATTTGTTATTTAAGTAGGTGGTCGATAACGTGTGGGAAAGACGCAAATTTACAAAGTGGCACTTTTATTGGACAAGGAGACATGTCGTATCCCTTTTATATTTCTCAGCCGGTTAGTCAAATAGAAATCCCGTGAAAATCGAAAGCGACGGAGCGAAACACGACACTTTTATTAACACTCAGATTTTTTCTTCTGTATGAACTACAAATTTATGCTCATGCACAATCTTATCGAAATTCACAAATACATTTATTAATATGACAGGTTATGTAATTCACTATTTACCTTGATTTTCAGGATGGTGTCCTGTCGTCTGGGATGGTATCCTGTGCTGGCCATCTACTATTCCTGGTGACACAGCATCCGCATTCTGTCCTTTTTATATCGCAGGATTCGACACACAAGTAAGAAAATTTTAAGAGTCAATAAAAAAAGAAATAGAAAAAACAAAGAGCACTGCCCTCTTCTGAAAACACACTAAGAAACTCAGTCGGTAAGTAAATATCCTGGTTACCTACCAAACATTTATCTCATGGGACGAGTATCTTTTTGGGACAAATAAATGCTATTAGCGATTTAAGCCGAGTATAATCTAAACCGACTAATCTCTCTTATGAGAGTGAAATAATAGGATCCATACTTCAGTATACGTAAGGAGGTCTTTGAATTAAAGTATCCTTTAAATCGGATAAGGTTTCTATCTGTATACGTACAGAGTGATACAAATTCTATAAATATTAAATACCCGTATATATTCTGTATATATTAATTCACTAATTTCAAGTTTTCCTATATATCATATAATTTACAGTTGAAATTATGCAGAAATTCTAGCTGATAATTTGCATCATAAACATACATAGTTTATTTGAAACTATAATTACCCTAAATAATTGTTAGATAACAAAAACCTCTGTTTACAGATGAAAAATTCAAAATGGTCCATTGTACTAGTAGATGATTGATTATCATTCGCTCTTGTACTTTATTAAAGATGAGACAAGATTGATATATATATATATATATATATATTGTTCGTATAATTTACACGGATTCATTGAGTGAGATTGATGTTTTAGTATAAACAGATTGCCAGATAAAAATACAACTAAATTCCAGAACATAAACCAGCAACAGGTTGCTTTAATATTGAAAGATTTCGGAGATTTCCCGTTATGGAATTCAAAAAACAGACGAAAATAAATTTAAAGAAAAAGGTGCAGAAATAGAAAAATTTGAAATTTTTGATCGTCTGACAATAAAGCGAATAAACAGTAAAGCCACGTTCACACTGTGAAACCATTATGGTAATGAAGAGGCCAACCCACCGGAAGTCCCCCGCATTCGACTTGACGACTTAACAAATGCGTTGTCGGAAAAGTAATTTCTTTAAAGAACAATTTAACCAACATATTTCATGAAGTCTGCACACTGAAAATATATTCCTACGTTACGTTATCACGAATATTGGTATAAACGCTTTTACGCTAATAAATAATCCTCCTCGAACGGTGACACTAAAAATAATACCGGAGTCTAAAGAAATAAAAAAAAGAATGTGGGATAATTTATGAGACCGTTTTATGGGATATTCGAGAAAGGTCTTAACGTCAAGGATTAAGTAAAGATCGATGAATCGATCCAATTCACCTACGATAGGTTAATATTAAGCATACTGATTTATGACGGTTATTTAAGTCTTCTCTATAAGGGTGCAAAGTCAATTCACATAGATCACCCTTAACTCTCACCACGCTACAAGTATCCAGCTGTTCTAAGCGGTTGTTAATCCAAAACCATAAAAGACAAAAAATTATCCCGTAAAATGCGCATAAGGACTTAAAAATGTCCTCGGTGACACTTCGTGAATATTTCATGAACATTTTTTTTTATAAAGCAAACATGAAAATTGGAAAAAAAATATATGACAAAAATAATATACTCAGTGTGTACTATATGGTATTGCATAGGTATAATATATATTGTGTTTTCAGTATAAACATTTTTTGTCACAGGCAAATGCCACGAAACATTGTATGCCTAATGGACAATGGTACTTCAGGGAAGACCTTAATACAACCTGGACAAATTTTACCCAATGCTACAGGCAGCCATACGCCACTGTTTTAATGGATCTTTCTGGGGATGTTCAGTCTGATAACACTACCATGATCGCGGTAAGGATTTATAAGAGACAGTCAAGTATCCACTAAGAATTAGTTATCCTATGTCAAACATTAAACTGGAACAGGTTGCGGAGGGATTTCTTCTTTCCTGAAGGTACATACAGGGTGTCTGAAAAAAAAAACGAGAGATTTTGGAAGGTTTGGAAGGCTTTGGACTATTAACGCGTAGGGTATGGTATCATTAATTGTAAGGCTTGAACTGGCTATTAATTTCCTATAATTCTAACTAATCGGATCTAATTATTTGGTGGTCTGTCTAAATTATGGTATTCCGTTAACCTGCTCTAATTTACTTTGCGAAATAATTAAGATCATTGATTATCAGATTAGAAGCTATCGATTGCTTCTTCTCTGTGCTTAATAGGAAGCAGCTACTGAGCTTCTTGTGAGAAAAGGGTTATCTGTCAATTAGAAACGCACCGCCTGAATTGATCTGCTTATTTGATTTTTATGGTAAAATAAACTTCAGGCGGTGTTATAATCCAGTATGGGGTTATTCAAAAAATAATTTTCACCTGGTGGTTCTGCATTATCTCTGGTTCTTAAGGTGGATCCACCGTGGGAACCAAAGGGACAGACTAATTCCCGGTGGTGAATTTGGGGAAATGGCTTTGCCAATCCGATGCTCTTTTTATCGATCAGCTAAAGTTCTTGATCGGTGAGAATTTTCAATTTTTGATTGCAATTTTTTTCAAAACAGATTAAAATTTGTCAATTTTCCAAGCACTGTTTTTTTTCTAAATTTTATCACGATTCTAGTAGTATATATATGATACGGGACTTTTTGGACACCCCGTATGTATATCTGTGAGATGTTGATAATGACGATTGACGATTTATCTTCATTGAATACAAACCTTTTCCTCTGCCAAGACAAATTGTTAGAACATTTTCAATTAGGTCGTTAAACGATTTTCTTGGGAGGATCGTGTTTCGTAAGCCACCCGTTAGAATCGAGTGTCAGAAAGACGTTAAGGAGAACGAGGAACTTTTTAAAGAAAATACTAAAAAGTAAACAGAGAATCAACCTGCTCTTTAAAATATATACAAGTATAAAGTATATATACAAGTATAAATACGCAGAGAAGAACTCAAAGTTGTAAAGCTAGTAATTACCGCCAGTGTATTTTTTTTCATCCACCGTGTATATGTAACTACCCCGAGAAACGAAGGCAAAATTATAGCACGAAACAACACCCAATGCGAACGAGTTAGATAAATCAAAGCGAAGGTACACGCTGCCATGAAATTCAAAGAATGTCTCTGGCAGCCTGTTAAGCCAATACGCCTTTTGTAAAAACGGAGAAAATCCAGTGAGATACAATTTACAATACAATTTACCTAACAAGCCAAATACCGCAGGGCATTCGCGATCCGAACTCTTCGTTTCTATTTGAATCTTCGTTGAAAACTGTAAGTATAAAGCAAGTGACGAATCGAAAATTTCTCAGTTTTAAATAATACCCAGCTAAATATTTACAAAGACACCAGCAAAGCTGATTGCATTCTGTTTGACTCCTCTTGATTTCCGGTACAAAGTTCAATCGAATTTCCAATGATATTATTCACACTCTGACTATCGGTTCAGGTCGACAGACAATTCCAGCCATATATACATACACTGCTGTGACTGTATCTAGTACCTAACACGTACTAGATATTGTAACCAGTTGTGTCTAACAGTGAAATTCATTATGAGTCCACGCATGTACATCCACTCAGACTCTGATTACATTTTCTCTGCATTCCTGAGCAAATTTGCTGATACTCGGCGCCAGGAAGGTAAACGCGAAGACTGGATGAGTCGAGACCAAATGGCAAGTTCCTGGAGGATATGAGGATGTAGCAGATGTAGTCGATACTGGTTCTTTTCCAAAGTAGAACTCTGTGTTGGTCCCAATATTCAACTTGCTGGTTTGGTTGTCGTTGAATAAAATTTATGAAAACAGGAAAACAAAATCTGATGAGTAAATGATCTTCCTGTTTCATTGTATATACTCACGCGAGAGTGGGCGTTCGTTACAAGGTAATCAACCCCGTGCCTGGAGGGTGCGGTTGTTATCTGGGCCAATACAGAATTTTATATGGACCACAATGTCAAGGGTTATAAGCTCCCATTAAACTTGCATGGTTCATCCTATGACTTGTGACCTTGTCCAGAATTCTGATTGCGGTCTTTGTTCCCGGTGGTGGATGACGACTGAACTCCACGTGTCGGGACGGCTGGGAAGCATAAACAAAGTTGTTCCTGTAGAGAAAATAAAACGTATAAGACGTATAGAGGAAGTGTGTAAGGGATGAAGAAAAAAATTTTTTATGGACCAAAATTTAGATAGAAAATTTCAAAACCGACGATATTATCGCAATGGACTATTGTTCAATTACATTTTTAGTTCTGGAACAAAATGGCGTCTCTCTACCGAAATGCCATTGAATCCCTCCCACGAGGTAACTTTGGCGAGGGTTATATCACTGCTTGTGGAATGAAAAGGAATAATGAAAGAGTATTAATATAATTTCGATAAAATTGCCGTTTTGATATTGTGACGGAATTATGGTTATCGGAATGAGTGGATAAAATATAGATTCCTTGTATAGAAATTTTGTCGAATCCATTAATAATATTATTATTATTATCAAATAAATTATTATCCTCTACGAGCATATAAAATCAAATGTCAACGAATCAGCACGATTTTTATTCCTGAAAGGTAAAAGGGTCTGAGAAAAAAAAATGCAATCTAATTCAAAAGCTTTCTGGATGTTTATCGTTTCCAATGGGTTGGTAGCCGTAACGGTATATCTATGGTATGAAAGGGAAGGACGCGCCCAAGGATTCCAATAAAATCCCAAAGGAAACTAGACCGCATCGAAGCGATAACATTCACTGAAGACACGCACGCGATAAGTCAATCCCATGCCAACTCATCTTTTACCCAGTCGAGATCGACTATCTCATACGTTATTTAAAATCACGCAATCAGAAGCGATGACTAAAATTCCATTGAAGAAATAAATTAAAAAAAGATATTAACATACAGTGTTTTTTTTCCTTACAGCAATTTCTACCAGTTGTAAAGACTATATCGAAGGTTGGCTACACTGTCTCCTTGTCAACCCTTATAGTAGCCTTCTGTATTCTAGCGACTATCAAGTAAGTATATATTTACATAGGATTTAGAGTCAAGCGAAATTCTCTGGGATTGGCCGATATATTTACTCAACCTGAGTTCCTTAATGGATATAACGTACAAAGAGCATTCAGATACGTCCATATATTCCATGACTAACAGCAAATGACGTATGTTCACTGAAAATCCTATTTTTATATATTTGGCTTTTAGTGAGACGATATGAAACACGGGGTAGCCAAGTAAAAATATAAATCTACCCTAGAGAAAATTTAAGGACTAAATAGCACAGAGGCGAGATAAGAGAATTTCTAAGTGATACAGACTGTTTGCAATAAAGTTTAACGAAAGTTATATACATATATGAGCAGCCTTATGGATATAACGTAATAATAAAAAGAAAAGTTATCCTTTGAGTAGTCATGTACTTGCTCAAAGGTCGTGTACTTTTGCGTTGACAATATTTCCTGAGTTTTAACGTTGTTTATAAAGAGTTGCTAAAAGCGCTGTTTCTTAGCCTTCAATTATTAATCACAAGCAAGTAGTACAGTCCTACCAACGTATCCAACCCCTCAATCCATTCACTAGGCGGTTTTCCACATTGCTGTTTATTATCCTAGCACAGTCTATTGTGAGAGTGTTTGTACCAGACCTTCCATAATACCCAGGGCTCGTGTGAAGTATACAGTCTGAAATACAAGGATTAAATAAAATTTTGTAATTTCAGTTACCAAGCAGATCCAAGAAATTTGTTAAGATTTATAATACTTTTTATGAAATACCCCAACCGACTTGGTCCCCTTCTAAAGAACTATAGCGTCTTTTCATTTGGACGTAGGAAGTTGCGATGTCCGAGGAACATACTGCACATGCACCTCTTTGCATCCTTCATGACCCGGGCCTTCATGGCGCTTATGAAGGACGTTGTCCTAGTCATCGGAGTTGGATTAGCCTCCGACGTCCTTGTAAAGGATGGCGAGACCTACTGGCTCGGTGATGACGTCGAGAGCAACTGGCAGTGTAAAGCGTTCACCAGCTTGTGGCAGTACTTCATCCTGGCAAATTATTCCTGGATCCTCATGGAAGGACTGTACCTTCATAACTTGGTATTTCTCGCCCTCTTCACGGACTCCAACTCCAGTATAGCCGGTTACGTGGTGCTCGGATGGGGTGAGGAAATACGCAAGTCTAAAAAATATAATAAAAATGTAAATCAGAGTCTTAGAGTGCCGAGAGAAAAATATTTAAGAAATAAAAGAAATATTTCACTGATTCACCTTACCTCCACTTGCTGCGTTCATCCTGAGATGCTGTGGAACAGGGTTAGAATTTACGAGGAAGACAACCGCCGTTACGACTGGCTTTCATTAAACAGCTGATTACTGGAGATAATCCAGATGAGTCAGGATCCTCTCTGACAATGAGCCCGTTTTTATCTGTAATCGTTGGTGTCATTATACAAAATTTTATTCTCTTTTCTCAACAGGCCTACCTGCCATTTTTGTCCTACCTTGGGTCGCCATGAGAGCAGCCCTTGATGATACTTACTGTTGGACGACCAATAAAAATCCCTTTCTATTTTTGATTATTCGGGTACCCACAATGTTATCCATCTTGGTAAGCTGTCAGGATTTTTTTTTCTTTTCATAAGACTCTAATTGATCTTCATTATTCACAGATCAATTTTGTACTCTTTGTTAATATTGTCAGAGTACTCTTGTCGAAATTGAAATTGACGGTGTCTGAGGAGACTCAAAGATACAAGTAAGATTGAAGTTTATTAAAATAGAAAATTAAGATGAAATACTTATCAGTCCTTTTTACCTTTTCAGGAGATGGGCCAGGAGTACTCTGGTACTAGTACCTTTATTCGGAGTACATTATACGGTTTTTCTTGGGATGTCTTACAGCATTGGAGTCAACAAAACAGTCGAGATCGTATGGCTTTTCTGTGATCAATTCTTCGCCTCCTTTCAAGTGAGAATTTATAGAATATGCTCATAAATCCTTATACAATTCTAATAAGGAGACTCCTTTCTTTATTCTCGAGAATGAAAATAAATCAATAAAACATAATAAAACGTTCCGTACGGTTGTATCTAAACAAATAATAGAATTATTTTGACCAAAGTAGTAGCATGTAATTATACTTACGTCTTAATTAAATTAAAGGGATTTTTCGTCGCTGTACTTTATTGCTTCCTGAACGGGGAAGTAAGGGCGGAAGTTACGAGAGCTTGGCGAAGTAGAAAGTGGCCACGTTTACGTAGTGGACGCTGGGGTCAACGGCCTTCTACGCATTCCTGCAGCACGTGCAGCTGCAATGCAACGAAATTGAGTAGAGAATCAAAGCATCCAAAGTGGTGGACAGAACCTTGGATCTGTTTCTGTCGTAATCGTGATACTCATCGTTCGACTCACTCCATGGCGAGTACACAAGGTGTCTCTCTGATCCTTCAAACAAAGACTTCCGGGCCGCAGAATCAATGTAACGCTTAATGGAATGGACGACATTATGGATTACAGTTTCCTGCACAGATGAGACACATTTCGTACTGAGCAGCTAGTATTCCTTTGTTTGATATTATGTAATTCTATCCTACATCATTTTTCCCACGCTTTTATCCATATTGATATTACATATGTATGACAATCACGATCAATGTTGCTTCAAATTGCTTGGTTAAGTGTATACACGTTAGAGTCAACTTTTTAAGGATCCACTATTTACAGATGTTGGAACGCGCGGGTGTAGTTTAGCAAGTAGCAGAGGTTATCTGGAGGTCGTTGGAACAGGCCCCCTTATCAATACCGGAAGTCAAAGTTCGACCGCTACGAATCATGCTTCTCCGCTTTGCAGCAAATATACAGATCAGTCTTTGCTCTCGTTTTGTTCAAACGTAAGTATTGTACTTTTTGTTAACTGAGACCGCAGTCTAGTTGGTTGATTGATCTTCAGATAAGTTACTTACTTTTTTAGATGTCCGAAATGTATGTTTGCCCAGCCGGCACTGACAGAAATGAAAGAATTCGAGAACAGCATCGCTGGAGTGACTCGGAATGCTGTCATCTTGCTTATGAACTTCACAGTCTACAGCAACACACACCCTTGGATCGTTAATGACATTTTAATTTATGTGAAATCGATTTTCAACATACTTGCTGTTGGCTGCCGCTGTGTTTTATAGGCCAAAGATGAAGCGAACTAATAGCAACTTTTACCGGAAACGTACGATGTGCCATTTTTTTAATTGACATGTTTCACGAGTCTTTTTTTAATGAAAACTTTCAGTATCTTTAAAGGTAATCGCTATTAATCAAGAATACCAAAGACCTTTTAGTGTACTTTAACGTGGAATTATTTTTAGGTACGCCTGATTTCACTTAATGGTTAAGAATACCACAGTACTAAAATAATATTTCGTAAATTTTTATTCTCCTGAAATGAAAATACAATACTATGCACGTGCATATTTTAACTTATGTTCAATGTGCTGGTATAAGAGAGTACTGTATTTTCAATACGTGGACATTTTAAGTGAATAATGTTTTAGAGTTTCGTTTCAATTGTGTGCGGTACATTCGGGTATCAGACCATTAGATGAAATCACGGGTACCTTTATTATTGATCTAAGAGGGAATCCCGAGGGTTAAGGAGTCAAAGTTTCTAATTAAATTTACCATCGGTAATTAATTGTGAAAACAAAACTAATTACGAATTCGTACAAAACACGGAACGGATCGATAGTTTCTTTCTTTCGATGTGAATGCATTTTCTAAGAAATTAAATTGAAGACGCGAACTGTTATGATAAGTTAAAATATAGAATACTCTATCGGTAAGAAGCGTTGTATGATATTACGTAAGATACAAAAAGCGCGCGTTCTTTGAATGGCTTTATTAGTTCTGTATTTTTGAATCGTTAAAAAGAGGGACAGCATTTTAAGATTAGGCTGACGATCAGGTATTTTTAAAATAGGATACAACGTAGGATTATATTTTTAAGTGGGGAATTACATACGTACAAATATTGCGTTACGCAATTTTAATAGAATATGTGCATAAAAGATATTTACAGACAGTATCGACTTAATTTTCAGCGAATTTCTTATTTTAAGTCAAAGAATAAATGTATGATGTTAAGTGTATGATAATTCGGAATTATCATTGATTATTCGTACTTTGAACAGTCATGGATTTTAAGGAAGAACAAAGATATAGTTACGTAAGATGGAGCATCTAAATGATATACCTTGACAGCTCTCTATGTATGTTAATTAATTTATGCTATCTACTCTATGTTTAGTTTAAATAAGTGCAAAGAGCAACGATGAACTGTGAAATAAAATCATGTGAACTGTATATTCTGAGGAATTGCTCTTTTCTTTACTGCCCATCATGACTCTTTAAAGTAATATGATTATCAATTATTTAGGAAGAGGTTTAAATAATAAACAATCAAGAGATATTTTTTATTAAATTTATTTATCTTGACTACTAAGTGGTAGTACTCTGTGAGTGTAAACTAAAAAGAGTCACAGTACCATGTAGGTACAAAAGCTAGCTAAACATTGTTAACGTAACTTTTTGAAAATTTAGTCATATCCACCTGCGCATCAATATATATATTTCTTTTTCTAAGCTAGTTCTTTGAAACCTAATGATGGTAACAAAGACTTATTTTCCAGTTTATCATATTTGATCTTATTTATTACTACACTATCTATTATGTCTTCTGCGTTTCTATTTTGCCCATAATAATCCACAAAATGCCCATCCGGGTCTACTAAGTACATTATGATAGTGTGATCAACCTGAAAGTTTTGAAATTATGTTGAATCATTCGTTATTGTTAATAAGGAAAAAGCATTTCATTCATCCACTTACAATATAATCATTGTCCTGATCCTTTGGACCACTGCTAAAGTACACCCTGTATGCTTTGCATACTTGAGCAATTTGCTCAGTGGAGCCTGAAAGTCCAATGAATTTATCGGAGAATTCCTTTATGTACTTCCCAACAATAGCTGGTGAATCTCTTTGAGGGTCTACTGTTATAAATATTGGCTGAATTTTGATCTTGTATTTTTTCTCTATAAAGAATGTTTAAAGAAATAATTAACGATTAGTTAGTATGAAACTGAAAAGAAATATTTGTTTGTATGTATTACCAAGGCCATCAACGACTTTAGTCATTTTTTCAAGCTCGTCTGGACAGATATCCGGACAGTGAGTAAATCCAAAATAAATCATAAGCCACTGTCCAAGAAAATCTGTAGATTTAACTATCTTTCCTTCAGGATTGATTAACTCAAACGTTCCTCCAATTTGAGCTTTTCCCAAATGACGTTTCCTTTCACGCATTATAGCTATATCCTTCTGTTCTCTTAAATAATACATGAACAACAAAAATCCACCACCTATTACAGCTGTCACGCATAAACTCTTCCAAGATATTGGCGATTTCAATTTCTTATCTTGTCTTTTTGGTATTTTTGACTCCGATGATTCCAACCACAATACTCTACTGGTATAAATACTTTTACTATGATTAATATACAGCTTAATTAAATTATGCCTTGTGCATCTCTGTAACGGCATAAATGTTCGTAACATTAAAGTTGACATTCTTTATATTTTTATAAATATTTTATATTATCTTCAAAAAAAAAAGTTATATTTCCACAATATACATTCCCCGAATGTTTCAACGAGGAAAATAGATATGAGAAAGTAAATCACGATTGTGATAAACTACAAAGGCCACACTAAATTCTTCCCACTGATGATTTATTTAATTCTTTATTTTTTTAATACCGGTATTGCGTTAACTGTGCTTAGAATTTTACTTCCAGAAGCAGACTACGAAGCACGAACTGTGCGGTCTGTATGGAAATTGCCGATCGGTCAATTGTCGTTCTCTGCTTTAACCACTTTTGCATGAAGATAAGTAAAATCAGAAATGGCTCCATCTTTAGTATTACTTATAAACTTCGTGTAACCGCAGCAAGAAAGCAGATTGGAGCGAATTTCGAAGAATCTGATAATTACAGGCAAAAAATTGTTTTTGATATCAAAGTGAAATTGACGAAAATGGATATCGACACAGCATACATTGGTAATTGAAGTGTGTTTATTTTTTCAATAAATAAACTTGAGAATTTTCACATACAGCATTGAAAAGTATTTTTGTTATTCATAGAATATATAAAAATAGTGTATCTAAAGTTTTCTATCTTGATTTACTGATTCACCAATACATCTTGTTTTCAGAGCCTCTGCACAACCACTGGCTTGAACATATTCGAAAAGAAAATGAGAAACGAAAGAAATTTATTAGAGAAAAGAATGAATTCTTCATGCCATTCGTAGGTAATGCATAAACATTTTTATTTTCAAACCTTATGTATGTGTTAAGTAATATACATGTGACGTTATTAATACAATTTACAGCTACCTCAATGCCTGTAGTTAAGACAATCTTTGCAATTGCTGAAAATTTAGGATTGACTTCTAATGCAAAGTATCTCACTGTGTCTTTATATGACCAATTCATGTACAATCACTTTAGTGAAGTGTACAGAACGGAGTACGAAAATGGTTTATTATCTGAGGAAACCTGGACTCAAATCTGCAAAAAAATTTCTAGTCAGGCAAAATTGCGACTCATGTCGTGTATGCAACTTGCAAGCAAAATGGATTCACATTCAAAAGGATTAGGAATATCACAAGTCTGTGAAATTTAATTTCAATAGAATATTTCTGCTGATGCTGATGTCTGCAGACAATTCAATATCTTCACTTTTTTTTTCTTCGTCACAGGTACTCTGTGTACTCCAAAGGATTGACAAGGATCACGAATATACACGAAACACAATATTTTCTTCGGAGTTTAAAGTTTTCAAGACTGTTGGTTTTAAAATTCCGGCTATTTTGACGCCTTTGCATTGTATACAAATTTTGGTCGCTACGACGGGATTGCGTCACACGCCAGGAATATTCGATACTGTCATTAGCGTATTGGATGCAGCTTATTTACAGGTTTTATTATATTCCTACGAAGGGAGATAACATTTTCATTTATTTATAAATTCATAAATTTTTTCTGCAGCACAACGAATTGTATAGCCATATACAGTTAATGACACTGGGACGATACATGAAGTCGGAAGGCGATAAACAAAATTTTTTGGAAATGGAAACCGATACCCTTTATTTGGCCTCTTCGGTTGTTCTTTGTTCATTATTTTTTTTATCACTGGATAAGAAGTTAGCTAAACACATGGCCGTCAAGTTATCCGATCTTGTGAATATTCCGAGTAACGATATTTTGAATATGGCAAATTTATTATTTACTATGACAATGCAGGACACAGATCCTTTATAAATTGCATTGAATTCGATTTAGGATCATATATTGATTATATTGGTAAACAGTATGATTTCATCATGATAAAATTTCAAAACTAAGACCCATTATGTATTATTGAATTTATCTGTTTATTTATCTGCACAATGCATACAAGACTGTCATTTCAATAAAGATTTTGTTCAAATTTAAAACAATCGAAAATCATATTATTTCTGTACTACAAATCATTATTCAATTATAAATAGAAATTATGTTATAGAAACCTTATTTGAATGATTAAATTTTGGTTGAATCAATCTCTTATAACTACTGCTCGTAAATGGCTACTTTTGAAAGTCAATTTATTGCATTTTCCAAGTTTGGTGATACAAGATCCGATGGTACAACTATTTCCCTTTCACAGAGTGATAAATGGATGAAACAAGCAAAAGTAATAGACAAGAATATCACTACAACAGACACAGCAATAGCTTTTAATAAATTAAAGTATGCCTTACAAGTTTATAATAATTTCTAAAAAACTAGTATGAATCACAACAAATTCTACTGTACAGACAGAAAACCTTATCATTAGAGGATTATAATAAATATATCAACGACCTTGCTAATACAAAAAATATTGCTCCTAAACTTCTACGAGATAAAATGGCAAGCTGCGGTTTGCCAGGCACACCGAACACCACAGTGAGCAGTGACAAACAAAATCATCATAAATCCATCAATTATATCCTCACAATCTTTCAGCAACCAACTAACAGTGATACTGTGAGTCGTCTAACAGACACCACCAATTACACTGGAAGTCATAAAGAAAGGTTTGATGAGTCTGGTAAAGGAAGAGGAAAAGAAGGACGTACAGATGCATCTGCAAATGATGGATATGTCCAAGGCTACAAGCATAAAGATACTTATGATGAAAAACATACAACTAAATAATTATAACTATATTAAAGCGTAACAAACCACATACAAATTTCTATCCTTTTCCATATAATGACTTATTCTTCAATCAATACCTTTACTAAAAATTCTTTAAGGAACACTCATACTCTCATCTAAAAGAAATTCATTCATAATATACAACATATCCGAATTTACTGAATAGTTGAAGAATCCAATTATCTCCAAAGTTCAAATATGACTTTCTTCCTGGCCTCTGTGCCATTCTAATTCTCTCTATAAACGACAACAATATAAACTCGTACTCCATTCATGTACGAAGAATGTACTATCCTATCCCACAGGGAAAAGTACGTACTATCCTTTTTACGTAGTACGCTACATACACTACTATCCCCACTATTCTTCAAGTACTTCAGTAGGATACTTACCCTACATAGAGTATAGAATACTCCTTCCAGTATGGTATTTACCACCACTTTCTCAAGTCTATGTTCTATGCGCATTAGTCCCACACAAGATCGAGCGATTCATCACTTTTCAAGATGGAGAAACAACACATCATTCCATAAGGTGGTTGTAAACAAGTAGACACCTGGAGCGATAACATCATTCATCCTCTTCTGGAAGATACATGTAGTTGAAGATACAACATGGCCAAATCAGTGCTAAGTTCGGATACCCTTCCTAAGGCAGGCCGGGTTAACGAAGGTAAGACAATAATACTTATTTAGATTCCTGTCACTTTCTTTCATTGTCATTAATTTTCTCTTGATAATGAGTACGCTTTCTTGTGGCACAGTATGTCGTGAGTGGCTGGTACACGAAGACGGCGCCTTGGCTTATAGATTACAGGATGAAGAGAGTATGTATTCTGAATATTAATGATTGATCATTGCTTTGTTGTGGTTAAGATTGGTAAGACGTATATTTGACTATGAATGTTTTAGTTAAGGAACATTATACGGGAAATAAGGTACGAAATGCTCAGGTACGCGAGGATCTACCAAGAGCTAAGGTTGAACAGGAACTTGAGGCACTTCGATATCAATCGCTAGTACAACAACAGTTAGTATATTGATCTTTTGACATATTACCTTTTTTGTTTTAAGATATAGAATGTAGTGAAAGCTGTTTGTTTTAATAGAGAAGAAAGGGATGCTTTAGTGGCAAGACAGATCGCATTATCCTTAGAGCATGAGGAAAGGCAGAAGGAACGTGAGCTCCAGGAGAGGATGAGGTTACAATTGAGATTGGATGATGAGGCAGCTCAGTTAGAAGCACAGCTAGAAATTCAGCGACGTATTCAAGAAGAAAAAGATCAGGTAGTTCTTCCATAAGAATATTTATTATTCATCAAAAAGAATGCTTAAATAAATTAATAGAACATACTACAACTATGTACAGGAACTTGCGAAAAAACTTCAACGGGAAGAAGAGGAAGCTGCTGTAGATTCCGAGGATGGTCCAGTAGATGAAAGATATCTTCTGGACAGAAAGATTGCAATGGAAGCACAAGATGCTGAACTAGCCAAAATGCTTCAAGACAAAGAACGAGCCAAGGCTCGACGTGCTAGGGAGCGAGCCAAACAAAGAAAACTAGAACGTCAGCAGCTGCAGCAGCAGCTCGAGGAACAGAATACCATAGAGAAGCCTCAAAGGCCTGACAAACTAGATCTTAAAGAGACTCACGAAACAGGTAGTAAATCTCGACAGCATTCAGCATATTCACGATACCCAGATCCAGAGGAAATTCAAGTCCTGGAGGACCCTGTCGAAGAGATCAGAGAAATGCCAAACGTTGCTGCCATGATTGATCCTACGTACAATGGTAATAATACGCACAGAAGTTCATCAAGTAGTTCAAGTAATACAATGAGTCCCACATATGCCTTACCTACGCCACCTCAGGAACTTATGGGTGAGGATGCACCATGCTATATGCCTATTCAAGGTCAGAGACGTAACCAAATGCAATCACCATCCCAGACCCATGAAGATAAGCAAAAACGTCGAGTCAAGGATGGATGCAAGCACCAATAGAATCAATTAATACAACAGACTCTTCAGGTAATCACATATTATTAAAGAAAAAAAAGGAAACGTCCGGAAACATTACGTTACATACTTTCAATAACAGAGAATAGGATAGGTTAGATTAGAATGAGCTAGATAAAAGTGTTCGGAAGAAAAATCCTCACGGCCTTTCTAAGAGCCAACTAATTACACTAGATCATAATGGCAATCTTAAAAGCCGGAGGAACTGCATAAATTCAAATGATAATCATGAGAATTATTGCCATATCAGTTCCAAATCGCGAAGTGTATTCCATTTCGCGAAGCGTGAACTTAACTCGTGCCTTTTCAAGGGCAACCATTTGTTTTAGACCTGAGCTCTATTAATCATTGTAACTGACGATAATCTAAGAATGTGTACCGTCCCATATTTGGATATTAATTTTTTTTTTATAACCAGTAGGCAGCAATAAGCCAGAGGCAAAGGCAAACCAATTTTTTTTAAGCTTGCTAAATGACTAGCAGACTTTTATTTTTTTTTACAATATAATCATATTCATAACTCGACGACTTTATTGGATGAATTTTGAAAATAGGACGTTGATTTTTTCCCCTAATTTTTCGTTTCTTCTGCCCTTTGTCGTTTGATAATCAGGTGTGAAGTTCAATCAGAATAAATACACAATTTAAATTGTTCATGTAGATTTTGATAGTTTATAAGAAAATTCAATTTGAAAATGAAATTCTTTCTGGATCCTCTACAATCAAGCAAGAGCAATGAATCTCTTAATTGACAAATCATGTATTTATATAATCTAGAAAATAATATCAAATTTTGAAGATATCAAGACAATCTAAGTTTTATAAGATTATCCCTCTTTTCTTCCTTATTTTCTTTCTGTATCTCACTGTCTCTCTTTTCCTATTTTGATTTATTCGCGATGTCAATAGGACAATACTGCCAAAGATCTGAAATATTAACGTTTGGCTTTCAACCAGATTGACACGAGTATTATCGGAGGATTTATTATATTTATCCCCCAGAATTCGCTATATTATTTTCTCCATAGGTTTATATATTCATTTCTACAGGTAATACGACAGGTAACGCAACTAACCGTGACAACTAGTATCGAAATGTATTATAAGTATATTTCTTCTTCAAATTTAATTTAAAAAAAAGCATCAGGCATGGTTTCCTCGATGCGAGGTACTAAAACAGGTTTTTTTTCCTGCAAGAAAAAAATTCTGATGAGAAGTATGAATACCGATTAACAAAAGCTTTACATTCCAATATTTGAAAATGGAAATTATTTATAAATTGCAAATGCGCATATATATAAATACGTACTAGCAATGTGTTCAGTAGCCATGCCTAATACATTACCAAGTTCGAGGGTATTATGCGCAATAATAATGAACGAAAAAAAAAGAAAAAACGAAATTTTCAACCCTATTTGTGTGTGTGTGCGTGTGCGACAATGCTAGATGGTAATTAATTAATTGATAGGGTATAATGAGTATACTTAAGATATCGTATTATCCACGGTGGCTGGAAAAGCTCTTTTGACAATGCTATACATTAATTTTCTTACACGTTTATTGTATTAATATAACTATACATGAACATATCAATAAATTATTTACAACCTTATGGTACAAAATGATCTTTGTCCTTTTATAAGTTTTCAAACCATTAGCTCTTGTGTTTAGCAGTTCATTTATCTCGTATCATTTTTTAGCGTGCAAATAACGTAAAGAGTAAAGAAAAATATAGTTATTAAAAGAACATGATGCATGATAGAATCAGATTGGTTTTTTGCAATTTAATCAGTTGTCGAATGCACTTTGTTCTTTTACAGTAAACAGCAGAAGAGGCTTTTACTATTTTTCCACTTGAAACTATACATTCGTCTAGATATCTGAGAATCTAGTGATAACATAATATAATTGTTTTCTTTAACAATTAAGATACATGGCAGAAAAAGTAGGATGTTTACGTTCATACAGCAACGTGTATCTATTTTTTAAAGCCAAAGGAGTGCTTTTATTTATTTATATGCACTGTGCGTTCTGAGCGTTTTTGACATGAAGTATGCCTGTTTTGTAAGATCTTTGAAATTTTATATCGAGTCACTCGTATGACTAAATTCACAGGAAATTATAAATCGTGTACAATATTTGGCTTTTCACAATCTCTAGTGAAAAATGCCTGACGTATATTGCAAAATGGATAAAAGTAAAAGTTGTCATTTTCTAAGGTTAAATTTGTTCCAAAAAATAAAATTAATAAGAAAATATATTGCGACCGAGTCTTGCATATGTTATAATCAAGATTGATAATATTTGATTAACGTAGTGTGTAAATGGTACAAGAATGAAACGTTCATTGTTTATTGTAATATAATGGCTACAATAAAGAACGTCGTTTCATCCTGGCACAATTGAATTAACAGTACAGCAGTAAGAAATATCATTAACTAATTAATACAGTTATTAATGCAAATTAATCTTACAAAAGCGGTATAGGCACCTAACTTCATTATTTGCTTTGCCTTAGGTTGTGATTATCCTTTTACTACGAATCACAGAATTATTATAACTCTCTTCAAGCGGTGTTTATGCATTAATATATATATATATTTCAAAGGAAAGTATAAATTACTGGCATTACCTTATACTGTATTTTCATAAAGAAACATGATTCACTCGGAGGATGTATTTTTAGATTTTTTTGGGTAACACAAATTCCGTTCTGTAACGTGGCAGGAAAATATTTCTGGCTACCTGACTCTTGGCTATTCGCGAAATTCTCTTTTCATTTGATACCTGCTCTTCTTCTGTCAATGGTGAAATGAAGTGTTTCAATCTTCTGTAAAAATCAATAAAGAATTGATTAAGCTTAAATAGCCATGATAGCTGAAGAAAATGAAATGTCAAAGAAGATATTGTTTACTAGAAAGGACTTAAAAGTCTAGATGAAATGTGTGATAACGATTGGTATTTGTTGTGTGATAAATACTTATCTTTGGACAGGTTAAGTAAAAGGGATAGTAAAGGTACAGATAAACATTTCACGTTATAAATAAATACCTACGAGGCTGTGTTGGGGTAAGCTGTTTTGATCTAGTATGAGGTGGTGAAAATACATAGTCCGGTACTTCACCTACTGCCTCTGTAAAAAGATAATGAAATTAATTAGTACCGAATAAAATATCTGAATGTTATTAATATATGTAAAATTAACCTTGTTCGTCATCTGATTCTATGAATGCCTGATCTGGTGCTGAGAAATGAAAACTTTCATCGCCTTCAACGCTACGCAATGAAGATCTTCTCGTTCTTTTAAGTTTTTCTACTTCTCCCTGATCCTTAACACTGGTACTGGATGTCGTACGTTTTCTCCTAGTAGTAGTTTTCTTAGTTACTGTGGCTTGCTCTGCTGGTTCTTCTTCTATAACATCTTCAGTTATGGCACTTTTGGCAAGGATACTACGTGTTCTTCTCTTGGGTTCCGTTTGTATAGGTTCTACACTAGCTGCTCTTCTTTCCCTTTCTGTCTGTGTAGTCTTTTTCTTTGCTTTAGCCGTGGAGGATTTTCCTTTGGATGTGGAACTTAATATTCCATCGACCTCTTCAGGTATGGATTGCATGGATAAGGATATACGACTTCGAGTATTACCAGCTGGGCTACTGGTAAGATCTTTCTCAATTTTAGTTGAAGATCTTGTTCTGTGTTCAGTCAGATCTTCATCAGACTCTTCAGGAATTGTTTCTTTGGCCACGCTGCTTGCTCTTGATGCTCTAGATACTAGTATTGAGGTATCTTTAGGCACAGAACTTGCTCGTTTCCTTGTTGATCTCTTACCACTATTCTTTGGAAGTTCTTCTGGAGTTTCCTTAGCCAGTGAAGAAGCTCTTCTTGTTCTTGTTGTCAAAGAAGTATCTGCTTCCTTTGATACTGAAGATTCTCTTTTACCTCTGGTTCCCTTCTTCTTAGGCATCTCATCTTCACTCTCTTCCAATGCATCCAAGCTGGAGGTAGAGGCAGACATTTTACTTTTTCGAGTACTTGTCTTAGAAACTGTGGGAATTTCCTTTTGAACAGATGCTGCACGTCTAGTACTTCTTCTGAGTGGAATCTCAACCTTCTCTTCCTGTGCTTCTTCAGGAATTGGTGAAGGGATTACGTCTTTCGCCAATGATGAGGATCTTCTGGTTCTACCTTTCTTTGGTGTAAGTATATCCAAAGAACTTTCCGACCCTGAGGAGGCCATTTTACCAAAACTTTCATCAGTCGTTCTGATGGATGATATCAGAACTTCCTTAGCTAGAGAACTGGCACGCCGTGATCTTCCTGATTTCTCTACTTCCCCGGGATGAGACTCAGATTCGGATTGCGCTCTAGTCTTTCTTATTACTGAGGATGATCTACGTGATCTAGTTATCCGTGCTGGTGTATCATTCTGTGATTCTGTATCTTTAGTTTCTTCAGGTTCCTGGCTTTTTTTGGAAGATGTATTTTTACCAGCTGATGCCTTGACTTTCGTAGATACTTGCAACTTGGACTTATTGCTATCATTTGTAAGAAATACATCATCACTTACTGATGCCAATAGAGTGTTCTCCTGCTTCCTTGTCTTGCCTAGCTTCTCTAGGACATCTGTAACGTTTGGCGATGCGGAATGCGCTATCTCAGAATATTCTAAATGATCGCTGACATTGTCTAGGTCGTCAGATAACTTTGATGCAACCGAAGCAGATCTTTGAGACCTTATGGAGTACTTTCGGGTACTCACGTTATGATTATCATTAGTATCATTTTTTTTAGTAGATGCTCTGCGCGTAACACTGTCAATGACGTCCAAACTGACATCGGATTCATCGTCAGTAATGTTAGACATGTCATAGATATTTTTTGATTCCTGTGATGCTGGTGCAGATGCAGTATTAGCTCCTGTTTCAGATTTATTTACTTCCTGACAAACAGGTTCAATATCCTGGATACTCTGTACAGGTTTATTTACTTCCTGACAAACAGGTTCAATATCCTGGATACTCTGTACAGACTCATCATCCGTAATATTAGAATTTTCATTGTAGGATCTTGCAACTTCTTTGACACTATTTTTATTGAATGATATTTCCTGCGAATAATTCTGAGACACATTGTCTGTGGGCTTAAGATTATTCTGAATACTACCATTGAGAGAATTTGAGAAACTCTGAAAAGTCTCCTCTTTGCTCTCATCCTCATCCTTATCCTTATCTTTGAGAGCAATCAATTCCTCTTCGGAATCCTCAGAAACATTATGAACACTTTTTTGTTCTTTATCTTCATTCGAAGAGTTAACCTGTTCCTCAGAAGTTGTAACGATACTCTTCTTACTAGGTTTAATATTATTTTCTTCTTTTCTTTCAATTTGCATCTGTTGTTCATCCGATAAGTTCTCCTTATCCTCTACAATTTCTTTGATACTTACTTCTGAACTATCCTGAGAAACATTCTGCACCTCGACGTTCATTGGCTCTTTACCAAACAATCTTTTATCAAACTGTTCAGAATCTTCAAAGCATACTTCTGGTTCGCGATCCAATCCAAAATCATCTACTTCCATAAGAACTTCGTCATCACCACGAGCACCATGTTCCTCAAAAGTGCTGATCTTCGTAACCGTGCTGGATTTGACAGAAATTGTCTTGCTGTAGGATGTGGAAATTAATCTTTTTCCTGTAGTGTTTTTATATTCTTCCTCAACCGGGCATGATAGTTCCTTCATTTTGTATTTCTCGTCAATAGAGTCCTGCTTCTTGTCCACGGACGGAGAAGCGCTCTCACTCTGGGGAAGTTTTAGAATCGGTGAAAAGTCTACATTACTGCTGTCAGATAGAATACTAGAGGCGTAAATTGATGAAGCGAGTAATGAACTACGAGCACGAGCTATTCCTCTGGGTGTAATAGGTGGAGTATTGGAGCTTGACAATAAGGAAGATTTCGAGAGTATAGGACTTGCCGTTCTGGGCAAAATCTTTGAAAGATCAGTCAAGGATTCATTAGATGCTAACTGTGTGCTTCTTCTTAGACTTGGTCTTGGACGTGGACCAGCAATACTTCTGCCACTGTAGCTACTGTCTGTCAATAGAATACTTTCGCTATGGGATTTAGTACTGATATTGGGACTGAAAAAGACTTCGTTGCTTTCTTTGGATGTATCCTCTTTATTTTCGTTAACATCTTCCGGATTTTCCTCCTCATCCTTCTGATCTTCAATGTCATTTTCCATATCGCCCAAATCTGAACAGACGGAATCATCCCTGGGCTGTGTAATGCTAAATCGAATTTGTCTAGTTGGTCTTCTTCCTTTTTCATTAGATGATTCTTTCTCTTCACTCTCTCTTGCACTCGTCTCTATAATCCTTGCAGTAGGCGACGTAGAATTTCGAATAAGCTGTCTGATCTTTAAAATAGAGTGCGGAGTCTCTGCAGAAGAATTCTTATTAGAATTCAATTGTCTTTTCTTCTGTATCAATGGCGTATCAAAAGCCATGCTCATACCTAGTTCTCTGGTATCGGTCTTGTCCACACTATCAGTATTATCATGAATTTTCCTACGTTTTCTATCTTCTAGAACATTTCTCTCCTCGTCATCATCTTCTCGTGTTTGATCTAATGTTCTTTTGCCATAGGTTTTGCGTGCCAAAACAGGAAAGAGGACGCAATCAGTATTATTGCAACTGTTCATTCTCAATGAGCTACAAGGAGCGCTGATGAATGGAATTTGAGTTCTATCGCCTCTAACGAATGTCTCTTTGGCTTTCTTAATCACCGTTTCGTACAGTCCCTGACTTCTGTTGTAACTCTTACAGTGTGACATCGGTCTAGAGTATCTACACTCAGGATCGATCACCAAGTTCCTCTTACTGACATTCGTAGAAAAGTTTCTGGTGACTTCCGGTAACGTAGAATGATAGGCATTGAGCATGGTCAAAGGTATCGAAGGGAAAGTCTTTTGAAGATAATTTCTATCCAAACCAGAAGTATGCATATTACTGGCTTCTGTATACCGACATCTTTGCAAGTAGTAAAGAAGTTTTGTTTCCTCGCACTTGTTGTCCTCGAGAAACTTCACAAATGCTTCCTCTTCCTCAGGATCCAGGGCCAAATGTAAAATGTCATTAAGAATACCCCGTGACTTGCAACTTTGGAAGAAGCAGTTTAGCAGCTGAGCATAGTGAGATGGTAATCGTCTATGAAAAGCAGAATGGACCAGACCATGCTCCACGGAAAGGGTAATAGCAGTACTCTGATCATTGACAGATGACAATGGAGGTTTTCGAACTCTCAAATAAGTCAGGGCTAGTTTGTGTTGATCGTTGTGGAGCAAAGTTCTGATGATGAACTTATGATGCCAATCCTTAACATCAGAATCAGATACCAACTGCCCAGTCATCATGTCTAGGAAACCCTGGTAATCCTGATGGTCGAGCAGCCAAAAGGCTTGTGTAAGTTTTATCAAACTTGGACTCATCTTAAATGCCGAAGGATACTTTATCAGTCTGTCTACACCAGGACAAGATCCTTGAAGAAGCATAGCTAAATCCATCAGCAGATAGATCGTTATCTGATGTTTGTGCTCCATCTCATTCGTCAATGACTCATTACAATCAGTGAGATAACTTCTCAATAAGGATTGTAAGGACGTTGGAGGATAATAACCTTCCAGACTTGCGTCACCACCTTCTCGTTCCCATTGTAATCTCAAAGGTGAACACTCCCGTGTTATGAGTTCGTCGATAAAGAGATCTTCCTGAAGCTCGTCCCCACGTCTGCTTTTATTCTTCATTTGAACACGTCTCTCCTTGTAGAACGTAGCCAGTCTCTCATAAGGATAAGGAATTCTCATTGTCAGAGAGATAGGTAAAGCTTCTTCGTCAAGATCCTGCGTCTCTGGCAAGAGTCCCACGTCGTAGAACCAGAGTACCACCTGGAGATACGTAGTGACCCTTCCCAAGGCTCTCTGCTGTTTTTGTAAATCTGATGATTCTGTAGGTATCTTCGCCACTACGTTGGACAAGCATTCAAGCTGTTGAGAGCAGAAACGCAACGTCTTAACGTCAGCTTCGCTAATTGAGTTACCGGATTGGTCAAAGAGAGGAACGCAGAGTCGATCCGCTGTTATTTTAATCATGGACGCTCGTTGCGCGCCCCACCTTAGAAATGCCGGATACAGATAGGCGACACTGCCGTCAGACCAATCCCTGGCGCACCTTATTAAAAAAGTGGACCATCGTTGTTCCAGACAAAGAGAGAGCAACATCTCTCTCTGTGCGTTATGATCACTTGAAAATGAACAGTCTGTATTGAAAGGAATCAAACCAACTGCTAGACATCTGTGAAAAGGCTCAGACGGTTGGATAAGTATCGCGGGTCCAGCGGCTGCCATGTCACGCAAAAGCTCCCATTGCACACCACGAGTCATCCAGAAGGTTAGACGATTCATACTAAGTTCCAGCCATTCCAGGGATAGTGAGTTTGGATAGAGCAGTTCTTCAGGTGGGTTAGTACTGTTGCTCAGAAATTCGTGTAAACTTGATGGAACGTAAGTGCAACTTAGTGTAGCATCCTCAGCCATACCCTGGACCCTGGACTTAGTTCTGTAACTGGTCATTATACTGTTTGGATTTTCACATTCGCTAAAAGTACGTGGCATCTGTTCCTTGTACCACTGATTCAAATCGAATAAGAAGGTCCTGCCATCGACACCGATTAGCAACAGACTGTCTTCACCGCGTTTGTAACTGGATTCCGTTTGTTCCTGATTGCTACCACGTTCGATGGTTGAGAGACTAGTTATTCTGTCGCCTTCTTCGAGCTCGAATTCGAACTTTAAACTGGGTTCACCCTCCAGATTGAAGTAGAGATTAGTTCCTTTGTCACAGTACTTTCTTTCGAACAGTAAAGCGTACATCCTTAGGACTGGTGGCTTTCTTGATGATTCTTCTTGGTAGGCGACCCAGAGGTAATAGAAAGGTTTTGGGTCATCGGCAGGCTCCAGTAGAGCTAGATGACTGACGGCCATGTTCTCATCGATAGGAGGACAGACCCAACCTACGGAACCATCGTTCTGCCAAATTATTACTCTGCCAAGACAACCGGAAATTAGGCATCCGATTTTTCTGGAGCTGATCACAGTTGAGGTTAAACTGTCCTCGTAAAGTAGGGCCTGTTCGAACTCTTCCCGGTTGAACCTTATGTACTGTTCGATTCCTGCAAAAATTGATGTGAAATATTTTTAATATTGCTTTCAGAGATAAATTTCTATTGAAATACTCACGACTGTTGAGTAAATTGCATGCTGCGTGTTTTTCCATGTACTGCCGGTGTCTGGACGATGATGAGTGTTTCCTTATGTCTTTGCTATCGTTAAATTCAATTTCCGTAGGACACGACTCGTCCAAGATCAAATATGAATTATCACCATCCCATAAAGAGCGTCTAAGGTCAATCACTATGTGATAAAGATTGCGGAGGACTACAAAGGCCATTCCACAGTTTTCCCTTAGAATACTGTCTGTTCTTTCATCAGTTAATTCTTCCCATTCAGCACCTCCATTTACAACACACACTTGTTCGACACCAGCTGGAACCTAAATATGGAATATTTGTCTTCTTATTTATGATGATAGTATTTTATAAATTTATCATTGTGAATTTTAAAACGTTTGTTCAAGCCTACAGTATCTATTAAATATTAATGACAAATTTCAGATAAGCCTAAAAGGATTCACCACACGCTTGCGATCCATAACAATACGAATATTTTGGCTATTGAAATCTTTGAAAATCTTAATTGATCAGTGAATTTATTGATGTGGTTTAATTGATGACTAAGTAAAACACTCACTCTTATTGCTCTGAGGATACGAGAGGTTGAACAATCAAATACACAGACCATTCCCGCTGAGTCTTTGATCCTGGTTGCCCCATTATCCAAGCCTACTAGAAGCAATGGTACTTGGCCACACAGAACAGGGAATCGAGACACACAAGTGACTTTATCATGGAATGTCCATGATGCTATGTTTTCTCCAGTTCTAACATTCAGGACAACAAGACGAGGTCCATAACTTATCCATGCATACATCGTATCATGTAGAAAACCACCCAAGGGATTTGCTGAACCCTTGTATATCTGTGATCCCACAGGTAGCCCTGACTCTTCGCCACCTAAATTGTTTAAACGATCCCATATTGGTAGTTGAAGATCTATCACTTTGCGGACCTTTAATAAAAAAATCAGTAGCAAAAATAATTAAAATTAAATATACCTATAAAAAATAAATATTTACCAAGAGAAGTAAAAAATTATTCAAATGACAATATCAACTCTGACTTCAACTTAATATCAAAGGTACACGTTGACGTCATTTCTAAATTAGCATTGTTCGTGATTTTATTACGAACTTAAGCAAGAAATAGAAATAAAGAATGACAAATACAAATATACAAATACCTCACAATGCGTTTCCTCCAGGTCTCTCATATTTCAATAAGTATTTCTACCTTGCATTGATTCCACAAAAAAGCATTGATAGAATCAATTGGCGGAAAAAAATCTTCAGGTTATGTGCACGCCGATTTAAACTAATATCACAATACGGAAATGAAGTCCTACAAATCGAATTTAACTCATTAGCATTTGAGATATTACTTATCGAATCTTCTTAATGACGATATAATTTCAAGACTTATCGCGAAAACGTTAATGGAAATTTAATTATTTTAAGACTCGTGTAACCATTTTAAAACCGCGAACATAATCATGAAGTACGTTAGACATGGTCGCCAATACTTTACAATCAAAAGTGACATTTGGACTATTCCAATAAATCGAATACTAACCACTATTTGATACATTCATAATTATTAATTGTATTATTATAATTCGTTGAATAAATGTATCAATATATTTAGTAAAAAGTCTGCTTTATTGTTTTAGCTAAATATAATTACACTGTGAAATTAATCAAAATCCGAGCATGACTACCAATATCTTATTCAAATGGTCTGTACGTGATCTATAAAAGTTCTTCACTTAATGTTAAAGAGTTTGGATATCGTAAAAGATACGCAATTGTACGCAATATGCAATACAATAATCATGTTGTAGAAAATCTATTCTTATTATAAAAGTAACAGTAATGACTTATGTAGGCGTAATTAGACGGTGAAGTGTTTAATGCGCGCGCAGTTGTTTCATCATCTCTAGGACGCTTGTCTTGTGTGTCTTGTTGAGGAAATTTATTATTTTTGGAATAAATATTGTTATTTTTTATTTAAACAACATGGACCTCTTAGGATCAATCCTCAATTCGATGGATAAGCCACCTTCAGTGAGCGACAAACAAAAAGAATTAATGAAAAGTCAGTTATTACCTAACCTTTGTTTGTATTTCAATATAAATTTGTTGTATAACTTTTATGAATTATTTATTTGTGTAGAACAACGTGAAGAACAACAAAAGCGGCAAAAAATTGAAGCAGAGAGGCTCAAAAGATTTCGAGAAAAGGTGATTCTCTAAATATTTCAAATATTCTTATATAGTTGATGCTGTTTCTCATTTTTGTGAATAAAAGCATAGTTCAGTTTTGTTATATACATTGTAAAATGGTATCATTCAGGTCGAAGAGAAAATGAATAAGTTCATCCAGGATGATTCTATGAAGCAGTACAAATTTCCATCTATGGATCAAGTGCATAGAAGTATCATGTGTGTATAACTGAATATTCTTATTTTTATTATTTAATGACTCATTACTGAAAGTTATGATTTTGCAGACACGATGTGGCTGAAGTAGCAAATGTTTGGGCTTACTCGTTTGGTGAGGAAGGGATTGACAGATACATAATGATCTTCAAGAGAGAATATGGCCCTTCTGAGGATCAGCTTAATGCTTTGCGCAGAGGAGAGGAATGGAACGAAGAGATAGCTAAGAGACTAACAGAAGAGCGAGAGAGACAAGCCAAGGAAGAGGAAGAGGCCGCTAAATCTAGAAAGCGGAAACAAGACTTTGTGCCGAATTCGAATTACAAGGATAAATACAAGCATCTCATCGGAGAAGAGGCTGCATTAGAAGCAGCAAGAAAAACTGAGGCCAATAGCAGTTATGGCTGTGGTATGTTTTTCTAATTTGTGTAATCTGTACAATATAGTAATTGTCTATATTTTCCAGTACCCAGTGAAAATAAGAAAGATCAACGGAGTATAGAACAAACTTTGGCAGACATTCGCGCTAAGAAGAAGAAGTTGGAAGCAGCTAATGCAGCTGCTGAGTCTAAGGACAACGAGCAGAAATGACCCTCCTATTTTTTAAGATGCTTCATGAATTAGAAAATTTCAAACCTATGTCATACTGTAAATATTTAATTAAACAGTACCCCATAAGAATTTTGACATGTATCACAATATCAACATGGATACTGTAATAATTGAATAAGTACAATAATAATTTTTGTTATTTATATCACGATTAGTATAAGTAACAATAGATTTGTTGATCAATAATTGAATGAGAAGTAATAAATAAACATTGTTATGATCAATTGTAAGAGTCTATATTCCTCATAAATATTTCTAATTTTTGTGAGTACACAAGTTATATTCATATTCGTCAATTTTAACAGTCAAGTCTCAGCATGTATAATGTTATACACAAATAATAAATCTATTAAAAAGAATCAATATCTTCATACTTCTCAATTATACAGTTTGATTTTATGCTATCACATCTCAAAGGTACTCCGTGGTTGAGTATTTCTGTACCGAAGTCCTAGGTGCTGGTTTGGGTTTTGAAGTAGATACGGGTTCAAAAACAATCTGTTCCTTAAGTGCTACTAATTTAACGAACCGACGACCTGTAGCACCTTTGTACAATTCCAATCCACGCTCGATGATCACGTCACGAACATACGCAGCATTATCCTGGACTAATTTCCTCTAAAAAAATATAAACAAAAATGAAGATGAGAAAGGATAAGATCAATTAACTACAGTTATTATAAAAATACATAAGAAACCCACCTCCTGCTTCAGTTTTGGATTTGTCAATGACAGCATCAAGTGCTGTACCTGTGTTCTCATCACAGACACAAGAACACTGTCAATAGTTGATATTAATTCAGGCGTCGCGACGCTTAAGCAATCCTCAAGGAGTCCAACATAAAGCCTTGAGAAGGCAAGAGTGTTGTTGGTCAACGATATCCAGCAATCACTGGTAAGACACAAGTCGGGTATGGGGATACCAAGATCTTCAAATTCGCCTAATAGTTTTTGTAAATTCTGACTGGATTGAAGATTAGATGGACGCCATGTATCTTCTGCAGCGCGAACCTTAACAGCATCGACGTATTTTTCGCCTGAATCCTGTAGTGCTCTGGTTAGAGGAGATCTTAGCTGACCATCCAATTGGTACCGGAAGTCAATGCCCAGCTGTGTCAACTGGAAAAAGTTAAGATAAGGTAAATTGAGTAACAAATATTCTCTTTAGAATATCAAATTATTACCTGATCGCAATGACCTCTGACTGCTACGATGCACTCAACTAGAGTGCTGATTGACACTTGTGGAATGAAAACCTGTTTTATTAGATGGGATGTCAAGTGTTTGACTTCCTGACTGCACCAAACTGCCAATCCTGTAATACAAGTAGTATATTTTTGGATAGTGCGTATGGTATGTAAATATTAATGGTTTGGATTATTGTATTCACCGGATGTACAATTTGCGTTTTGGGGAAAGATTCTTAAGAATTCACGTGCCATTTCTACCATATTGCTGAAAGCTATTGCACTCAGTTGCTTCACATATGGTATTGTAGCGCCTTCTCTTTTGACTCTCTTTAAACGCGCCTTAAGGGCGGCACTGCATAATCGCAGAAATAATTGACATGCCTGTGCACTACGATCAAGCTGAATCAGGAGTCTGACTGCACGTCTGGCACTTCTTAAGCCACCTCCTTGAAGAGACTTTGATTCAGAACTTAATTCGAGTTCTTTAGTGAGAACGTCTACCAAGGATTGACCCCTGTCATTCACTTTTGATTTTATGTCAGATAATTGTGGTGTAATCTGAACTTCGCTTAGGTATGCTTTTGCTTTCTCGAGGAGATTATGCGCTTCCTCGAAGTGGCGTTGAGCTATACAGGAATCTAAATCTTCCGTTACCTCTAGTAACCACTCTGGAAGAGGTTCCTGATACTCCATATCAGAGGTATCTTCCATTCCTGCAAAATGAATTTATTGTATAGCATTGTTAATACAAAATAAATTCAGGTCTATTTGCCATCTTACCTAAAGTTGCTGAGTCTAGCGACATTGAACGTGATGGCACAGTCACTTCCTCTTTTGATTGATTCTTATTGGAAGTCTCTTGGTTATCTTGTGTTAATCGTGCTTTTTTTGCTTGCTCGCACTTATCCAACCATTCTTTCTAAGTAATAGACAATTAGTTTAGTGCCATATATACATATTTATTAGGTGCTACATAATTGAAAAAATCATTAAAACCTTGCTCGTTGCAGATGCACATTGGAAAACTCTGGTATCAGGAAATGCAAGAAGTTTGAATGCCAATTTTACTGTCCCCAAGTCTCTGACATTTACTACAGCTAGACTTTGCAAGTTATAGACAGCCTGCATTTTATATCGCGGTGGCCCTCTTCGTCCACCAGTTGCCAGCCAAGATGCAATCATTAGGATATCGTTAAATAAATATGCATGTATTCTTTTTAAGGGTGTACCCTCCAAGGGGTCTAATTCCAATAGTGACCCTTCATGCAAGCAAACACGACCAGGAGTCTCAACTAAACTCTGTCAGGAAACTAAATGTTTAATCATCCTTTAAGATTTTCATTAAATTTTCATTAAATTTTCATTAAATACTTATAACTAACCATAGCACCCTCCACATTCTCTAATATTTGTACTAATTTCTGCTTTTGCTCCTCCTCCTTGGAAATTGAATTGTTTGAACTCTCTTCTTGCGACTCTAGCACATCTTCAAACACTACTCCTGTAGCTCTAGTTGTACCCAGAGCACCGAGTAAGGATCTTTGTTCACTGAGTAACTGAGAAAGTTGATACATCTCGCTTTCAAGATGAGATATTTCCTTGGCAGTTTCAATGAATTGCATGTAATTCTGATAAACATTGCGTTTAAGTTGTGCAGAAGTTTTGTCTGAAAGCTCTTGAATTTTTGCTCGTTGCAATCTAAGCTCATCTGCACCAATGCATTGTGCACTAAGATCCTTTACGACTAAAAGAAGTAAGAAACGATTTTTTGTATGTCATAACACAATGAAAAAATGATGAAATTGAACAACTGTCAAATCTGTCATCAACATACATTTCTCAGGATTAAACTCCTTTGCAGCAAAACTCTTGGCAAGTGATTCAGCCATTGTGGAATCTTTATACAGATGCTTCTCCCCCAATAAAATAGCACAGACGCGCGAAAGCTATTTTACAAATATTCAACTTATTTATGAGGAGGATATAAGGTTGACAAGGATTGACACCTTTAAACAATCAATGACTATAACTTTTACAGAAAGAGAACGAAGACGTCAAAATTGGTCCAAAAATGTTTCAAAAATTTGACAAAAGATGGCTATACCTACGGCGGTTAATAATTTTAGCGTCGTATATAACCCAGCACTATCTGAAGCTGATAAATACGAAATTTCCTCTACGAATCTACACAAGATTACGAGCGAGTTTTAAAATACCATTTACCCTTAGAACTCGTCAGTGTCGATATAGCAGAAAATAGTTTGAATCAAAAGATTTGGTAGTCTCGCACCAAATGCGGTGGGAGAAATTCAGCCGACGATATAGTACATTTAATGACACTTCATTGTCTTCATTGACTTCAAATGTCTTCTTTATGCTCTTCATAAAATCACATACTGTTATGAATATTTTGAAAACTATATTTATTATAAGGGATATCTAAACCAAACGTATAACGTTAATCAGTCCATTTGATGTGTATGGTAAAACTAACTAACTTCAATTGGTAAGTTTGAATCGAAAAACCTTGTACATACACTACACGAGATTACCTCCCAAATGTTATGGTTCCATATATTTCAATAAACCCTGCATAAAATGTTATATATATATCTGTTTGAAGTTTTTATTCATCCAAGAAACTATTTAAGTTTGGTTCTTTTGTCAGCCCTTTTTTTATTCCTATTTTGTAATTTGTCAAGATGATTTGGTGCAATGTATATAGTAGTGATAGCAATATCCCCTTGCAAGATTAATTGGATATTGATCATGGAGTTGAAATCCCCTACATATCTCCTCTTCATGAAATGGTGAAGCTTTTTGGAAACAATAAGGACGTGTTTGGGCAATTAAGGAACAATATGGTAAGCATTGAAAGATCACTTTAATATATATATATATATATATGTATATATTTACACAGACAACAATGCGTTGTTAGGATGGAACGATCAACAAGATTCTTAATAAATTATTCATTATATTTGTATTCTCGACGTACATAATCGTACATATTCGCACAATTGTCCCTTAACAATAATTAACGTGCAACCCGACGCAAGCAGCACGAATGTAACGGAAAGCTAAGTAAAAGAAAAGAAAAAGAACTGAAAAGATAAAAAGAAAAAAAAGAAAACAACGAACACGATAGCATAGTAAGAAGGGTACCCTTATGAAATTATCTTGCTCTAATTACACTATGGAATGTTGTCTCTAGTTACGCACGCTTTGAATATCCCGCCTGTATATTTTCAGACGACTCTTATAAGTAAAAGACAAGTGATCACCAGAAGACACAACAGGGATTCCCCGGTGATCCGCAATTATTAGTTGTGCCTGTGTAAGTGTACATAATGCATACGTATACGAGTATATCTGTGTCCCTTTTTGTATATGTATTAGTGTATGTGTTCTTGACAAATTTGTACTTATAGTAAATCCTGAACGACTTTCGTTTTGACTGGACAGAGTATCAAAGCCGACCGGTCGAAATAACAGTATTAATTAGGCGTACGCGAATTAGCATTATTATCTACAGTGATCCTCTTGTCATCACTTTCCTTCAATCTTCCTTAAATTTTTGTTTAAATTCTATTTTGCTTTTTCTCTCGTTCACCTCTCTATTAAATCACGCTTGTTTGTTCTAGAAACTTAGTTACTCTAATAGTTGCTAATTAAACTCGACTTCTTGACTAATTATTTAATTAATCTACGTAGGCCCTTTTTGTTCGTCGCTTAATTTTTATCTACAGGACGGCACGTGATCCGTCTCTTTTGTTACCTTAGAAAAAGATATCGCTATACGCCAACGAGAGATATATGTATATATATATGGTCGTGTTACAAAGTTCACGTTGATTTCGAATGGCCCCAATCTGCAACACATATTTCAATCATATCGATTAAGGTCATTGAATACATTTGCTCTCATTAATTTTACATTATCCGTATTACTTACCGATTGTGGAATTGCTTTGTCGTTTTTTTTTGTATGCTTAAACAGTATCAAGACAATTTTTTGACGTTTTATAATGTTTCTTGCCTCCTCTGTGTGTAAATGTGTGCAGCACTCACGCACAGATGGCGAACTGACGTCATGAAAACTCTAAGCACGTAATAGACACGTGCTATACCATCTTGGTATTTTATATTCTCTTTTTTTTGAACACCCTCGTCGTGCTCGGGGGATAGGAGCCTCTCATCCTCTCAAAGGTTCAAAAGTCTGCGCCACTTGGTACTCTTCTATTCATTTCTATAATTAGCATGTGTTAATTAAGTTTTACTTGTCATACCGGTATTGTCAGCGCAGCTCAAGGATTCTTTTTAATAAATCTTATAAGTATGCTAGAGCCTTGCCTTCTCCTCGGCGATGCTACTGGTCGACGGCATCCTCTGCGAGGATTCCAATCTCCTTCGTCTTTCCTCGATGGCTTCCGTATCCAGGCTGACTGCCGTTTGTATAGTTTGTGTTACCGACGCGTTTACGTGACGTGTTTTAATCAACGGTGGATTACGTGATTGGGGCACTGCGAAAGCCCTCCTCAGAGCCCCCCTAGGTGGCGACGGCGGCGGATATGATATACCTGAAGAAAGGACTATCAATGACAAATTCGAGAGTGGAACTAGGGTGCACCGTGGGTGCTAGTTCGTGACGATGAGTTATTTATTATGCAAAAGGTCAAGTTCATCGGGTTTACCTCGATGTCCTGGTGACAGTAGAGTGTCCTTGCTCTTCGTGATCTGCGGCACGATCAGAAGAGAGTTTGGCGGTGTTGGTGAAACAGTTGACGTCTGTGGTGACGTCGCCAGGGTCAGGTTAGGTAGAGACTGACCTAGAGACGAGTAGGCTGGTACTTGAACACTCAGAGTGTTCGGTGTTGGTGATTTGCACAGCAAGGATCTCCTGTGTCAACGGGAGAGAATGTTCTAGATACACTCTAGAGCGTTTTTGTAGGTGACACACTGGTTTACAATGAGATACACTTTGTAATGACATGCAAGACGTCTAGCCTCTATGACGCTCGTCAAGAGCATATGGGACAGAATCGGAGCATGCATTGAAGAAAAAAGATTAGCAAGCATAATGCAGAAGAAAAAAAAATGCATAATCAACTCCCACGTTGTTTATTCAAAGCTGTTTGTGCTTATCAATCGGCTATATACAATACATTTAAATTAATGAAAAAATTAATTATGAAACTCTTTTCGTTCAGACTCCTTGTTCAGGACGCATGCGCGTTAGACTCATAAACTTTTTTTATAATTCGTTTCTAGCCGACTCTTTCAAGAACTTCGTGAAGACGAAGAAGAACAAGAAAAAGCGAGAGAAAATGACGCATGAGACGTTTAAAACGTCGGCACCCAACTAGGTGGGTCGTTTACGTGCATAAGAAAGTTAAGGATGCTGCAATATCCGGTCTAGCATTGTTCACCTGACTTGCAGCGGTCTGTGGTTATGACCTGCTGCTATATCAGCACCCTCCTCTGAGGAAACGCTAGATGCACGGGGTGGTTCGCTGGTCTCCACGCTCACGTTTCTACTTTGATTGTAGCTTGGTACGTAACTGCTACTTCCTGGCGAGACACCTTCCATCTCCATGCTTCCACTGCAAATGCAAATGCTATGTTCAATAGGTGGTAGGAATGCGCTTATTGGGTCTTATAAGGTCCAGGGTACTAAGCTAAGGGTAGTCGGACTCAGAGTGAAATGAATAGGATGATCTCAAAGCGCCAACACAACAGGGGTTGCTAATCCAGAGTCAAAATCAAGCTAAAGATTATAAAGATCCGGTTGTCTGAACAAAAATTTAGTTCCGGATGAGAATTTATAAGAATTAACTTGATTATGATTCATATAAATTTCTCGGGATTTTGAAAACGTTTCCAATTGGGTCGCGCTCATCACAATTTTCACATTTTTCTTATACCCTTTTGAAAGTATAAGATTACTGTGTGATAAGATCATGATCACTATTCTTGATACTTACGAAATTAATTAAAAAGTCAGAATAAAAATATGACAACGAAAATTTAATTAGATTCATTACCTGTCAAAGTCTCTGTGCGGGCTTCACTTGATTAAAACACAGTTGTACGATTATTATATAAAATCCTAAGGTGAACACAAACCTATGACTATGCGCCAGGCTGCTAACACGAGAAGCTCTGCTACTTCCACGTGGAGTCCTGGGCATCCCTTCACACTCATCCGTCTCAAAATCTCCATCACCCAAGTACGTGCTGGCTTGTCTACTGACCAGTCCCAGGTTCAAACCACCACCCAATGGGGGTACCTTCATCAGAGCAAATTGTTGCTGAGCCTTCCTCAAAGATTCCATCCAGGACTAAACAAAGGACCATATATCTCAAGTGATTAATTATTCTACCCAACGCACAAATTTCAATACGTTAATTGTATTTCACCTTAGCCAGTTTTGGTTCCCCAGCACTGAGAATCAGGGCAGCTGACGCTGCTCCATACTCATTAAGATAGACCAACCCAAGACTGGATGGTTCTTTAAGTTCATGAACTCGGATACGATCAACGACGTAAGGTTGACGTATAACCTTTAATCCACCTCCGCCACTTCCGGTGGCGCTGCTCGATGACGCTTTCTTGGTCGAGGGCTTGCAGATGAGCAGCATATCCGTCAGGAGGAGTACGTGCACCTCTGTCTGGAAACGAGCCTTCTTATCGATCCAGTCGTTCAGATCAATACATTCGTGGCGTCCATCCAAAAAGTCAAAACTTAAAAACTGATAAAAAATAGTTACCTTGCTGGTAGCAGCGTCCCGTAGCTTAAGGTCACCCTCGCGCAGAAGCGTCCTCAAGGACTCCTTGGGACATCCTGGCATCGGCGCATTGGTAATGTCCAAGCTGCTGTGAACCCTAACGAGCTTCTCCAGCTCCTCATCCCGAGACTCAACCACGTCGTAGCTTTCCAAGCGGGAAGCTGCGCTGGCCAATCGCGCAGTTTCCTCGCTTCGCCTTAAGGCCGCGTTCACAGATGCCACAAAATTGTCCACTGACTTTATCTATATTAAAAAAATATTCTCTTATCCCTCCTATCCATCAAGATCACATCCACGTGTTACTATATTCTTACCATCAGCATCAATTCTGCACGCTGCTCTTCGTTCTCGGTGTTCTTGTGTACAGCCTTTAACAACAGTGAGTACTTGGTGAGTCTTTGCATAGGCTTCACCAGGATATCCAGGAGTCTCAGGCGATTGCAGTCCTTCTGCGTCTCGCACCACTATACGAAAACGAATGACTGCGTGTAATCAGATTCATCAATATCACAATGATCCAGTGTCCACCTACCACCAGGTAAGCCGTGAAAAGTTCGTTGTCGTTCAAACGATCCCTGCAATACTGCTGACACCTACTCTGCTCAGCACAGTATCTGGTATAGGGAGCAAAGGTCTGTTCAAATGTTTCAAACCCATGAAGAAGATGACCAGGATCAAGTGGCTGTCGTGTATTCCTAGCAGCGTTCAACATGCCCAGTAGATGCTCGCTCCAGAAATACCGATTAGCCGCATAGATTGCTGGTATGTTACTGAAGAGTTTAGTACGGTCGACCTCGTTCAGGATATTCGAGGCTTGCAGACTACACAGACAAGCCATAAAGAGCTGCGAGAAAGTAAACAGATTATGATAAATCACCCACTTTTATATACATTAAAGCCAATCCATAATACTCACGTCTGTCACGACCTTAAGCGTTCTTATGTAGGCTACTTCGGTCTGCGCCAATTCCCACAGTGCTGTTTGCTGTTGTTGTTGTTTCTCCGAGAGATGATCTGAATTATCAACGATGTCGCGCCAATCGTCTTCTATGCTGTACAGAGCTACAGGAACAAGAGTTCTAGTTTAAAGCCTCGTTCATTCACCAATTCTCGAGACAAAAATTATTTTTATGTCACAAACCGTCCTCGTTCACTCCCAAGTCGTAGGGTAGCTGCATATCAGGCATTAAGGGGACCCCGTGCTTTGTATATATTTCAAGCTGCTCTACCAGCGACTCCATCTTTGTGCCTTTTGTGTTCGTAAAGAATCCGCTCCAGCGCTGCTTACTGGCTTTGAGTCCTGCAGCCCCAGCAGAACTCTTACCGGAAGCAATCGCCGGTCCGGTTCCAATTTCCGAGTCGACACTAGAGTCCTCTGTGGAGACGCTGAAGAAGCGTCCGCTTCGGCCTCGATAGCTCTGAAAAAAGAAAAAAAAAATTAAATTTCAAAACAGCCCTAAAGTTATTCAAAATATACTCGCTATCAATGAAAATGGCGGATTTTGACGAGGATCGGGAAAAATCAATTATTCCTTTTAGATACGATACTTCGATGCACGAGCACATCGCTTTATGTTCGGTTCACACGTGATTCACCATGCATAATTCAAGGCCCTTCTCCCCCCACGACCCCGTCCACCGAGAGATACAGCGAGGGAAGTATTGTCGTACATTAAAACCGTTTTTAACGCTCGGTTTTGCATTTACGGCCGTGTCCACAGTTTCATCCCCTAAATGCGTAAAGGCGTAAATTTTATATGCGACTATGAACGAAAGAAATAGGGGCGAAAATGTTGCGTGCTGCAAACGGATGCACATACACGTCGACGCGTTTTGCAATTTCATATGTGCACAGTGAAATTGCAGACGCAACTGCATACGCACGACAATCTTGATTGTGCCATGTGAACGCGCATTAATGTGCACTTCGTTTTACTGGCAGTATAACTGATTCTCGTCCAGTGGGCGCCGACAGTGCGTATGCATGCATCGTTTCTATGAATTCAAACGCGACGTATGTATTCTACGTATACAGGGTGTACCAGATTAAAATATGAACGTATATGCCAATATATCATTTTGCAATGTCCAATAGGTTTTCATTGTATATTTGAAATGTGGCGGTATAGATAATTATTTTACAATTTTTAAGTGAAGTATGCTATCGATTGGCAATTGGGTTTTAGTAGACAGAAATGAGAATTATGAATTCGATCTTTTTTGTACACCCTGTATACATCCCCAATCCTATATGGAACATTGTAATATTTTTCTGGTACACTCAGCGAGAACGTCTGGCAAGTCATCGAGGCTCGATGAATCATATTGCCATTTTTCGCGAATTCATATATGTATAGGGTGATACACTTTTGATGGAAGGAAGGAGTAAAGGAGGTGGAAGGGCGATACTGTTATTATTATACCGTAATTAATCCGTGCCTTGACGTAGTAACGATTTTTTGATTTTTCGTTTAATTTTCTTTTTTTCTTTTGTTTTTCTTCACGAATCCTTTTTTAATCGTCGACAAATGTTTCGAATAGGCTACGGGGTAGTTGGTGGGTAAGTAGAGACGAAGGGTGGCTTTTCAGGATGTGAGCTAGGGGTGGTAGAGGATAAGGGAAGGGAATTCACACTGTGGAACAATAGAATCGAATATGATATGCCAGATTCGTTCATCCCCTTTATCCCGTTTATCATGTTCATCCTGTTCATCGTACAGTGTTCATTTTCCCATAGGACTGCATAGAACTCTGTTAATCGCGTATCACCCCCTAGATACAATAGGGAGATAACATCAACATTCCCTAGCATAGGCAGGTGGAAAATAAGTCACGTGTCTATACAGTAAAAATAAATATTTATCTCACGATAAAAGTTCATTTAAAAATTAATTGACAATAGTGCTTTATTATTCGATAATTAAGTATTATTATTATAATTTATAGATTCATACTCACCCCACTAGCCTTTCGCAGAGAAACATTCTGGTTACTTTTTTGACTGGCCGATCTTGAATTCACCTTCTCGTCCTTGGCTATAAAATGAAAGGAAGAGATTGAGCAAAATAATAATATAATTAAAAAATAATTATTATCAAGGATACAATTTAATACGGCCCAAATTTATTTCTTCGACTCTTATAGTACATATAAGAGTACATACAATATACATATAGTACATATATACCTATAACATTATGTTATAACCTATAACATTGTTATCCCTAATCGACCAATGAGATTCATAGGAGCGAACAAAAATTCGTGTCCAACTCAGCCATTTCTCATTGGTCACACCCACGAGTAGTATAGATCGTTATCATAATGATCTATATATATCATCCCCTTATCGGACATCAAACAGAAATTGATTTATCCATAAATCCAGACTATTGTGTAACTACGGAACGAAGTTCGCAGCCGAAAAAGAAAAAAAAAAAGGTTAAATCTCAGCCCGATAAACTCATAAAAGTAAATAGACGCTCATGACGACGCCCGGCGTCGATTTCCGAGACGTCCTTTAATTTTCGCATTTACGATTTACGATCTGTGAAAAATTCTTCAAGATTCAATAATTACTTCATCGGCTTCACGGAATGAGTATCCGACGCTCAGCCCTTAAAGCGTCGCCGACACCGACGCCCGGCGTCGCTCGTTAACCCGATGGCGAAGTCAGTGATAAAAAAGTTCTTGGTAAAATTATACAGAACAACGAAAGCACCACTATCCGGCTTTACATGCACACGAGTGCCACAGTCCCACAGTATGTAGGTAATGTTGCAGCTGCAGCCCTTACATACGCTGCAACTCCATCCCTTATATACGCTCCAGCTGCATCCCCTTTCACATTCAGTCTACCGTACTCTCACGTTCTATATCATCCGGAATAAGCTAAATTTCATATAAGAAACGCGGCGAACTCGCCGTCTCGTCTTGAATAGAATAGAAGGGAGAATTTCTTCAGGCATTAAGGATAACGACGATATATATATATATATATATATACACACGAGTATGCGCAACCACCCCTTAATTAGGCGCGAGTAATTCTCGCTAATAATTGAGCTACAATAGACGTCATTGATGGTAATGGAATGAGAAACGCGTCGCGGAAGTTGTATCTAAGGGTTGCGGGGGCAGGGAAAGGGGTGGGCGGTGGGCTAGATATAAATATAGGGTTACAGGTCGTAGGACCGAGGAAATTAATCAAAATCTACTTAGGTATTACAAGGGGGTGGGTTCTGACAGTGGAAGCTTGCTAGATACGTATTGGTGGATCTGCGTGTATATAGAGGGGAGGGGGGAGTACTCCTTACTACCCTTATAACACCCTCGACATGTTGTAAACCGATCCCAACGGCAATTTCATTAGTAATATATCGCACGGAAATGCGACGCGCAGCGTCGGGACGCTCGGCGTCTTTCACTCTTATCGTGAACAGTGGTAATCCCCTGCCCCCTCCTCCTCCTCACCATCAATCGTAATTCCTGACGCACGTTTCTCATACCTGTTTCTATCGTTGTGACGTAGTCGGGGGTGGGGGGGAGATGAAAACCTATCTGGCTTATTAGATTTTTTTTTGGGGGGATTATCTGATTTTTTTCTTAATTATAGTATTATGGATTGAAATGATCGATAATTGAGTTTGGGATAGGATCGTTGGATTAGACGAAGGGATTTAGAATTTTTCTTTTTTCATTGAATTTGATTGGCCGCTGATTGGCGGTCTTTAATGATCCTTGGGATTATCCTGTTTTTTGGTTTTCAAGTCTGATGGTGGTAGAGCGGTTTTTTTTTGTTGGCGACCCTTGAGTTTTTGTAGATTGTTTAATGGATCCCTGATATGTGGATTGGCTGAATTTTTTTTTTTTCTTTCTTTGACTGCAGTCATTTGTGGTTTTATAAGGGGGTTCAAAGGTCATTGTTTGGGCATGAAAAGTCTCGTACAGTTGGGTTTAAGTTTTAGGATCCGGGACTTGCAATCAAAGGTGTTAGATGCTCGTAAAGCCAGGCGTAAATTATAATTTATACGTGGATTATTGCGTCACCGGAGACGCGAATTTTCGCTGGATCAATTGTTAAAGATCGTTCGGTTGGATCGGAGGTGTTTAACTTTTGGGATCTAGGACTTGTAATCTACGGTATTAGATGCTCGTAAAGCCAGGCATAAATTACGTTATACGCGTGGAATATTGCGTCACCGGACACCACGTGGATTTTCGTTGGATCAAGAACAATGATATCAGCAGGGATGCGCGTTAATTAAAGATGACAATTAAATAGGCACGAAACGATGGATTTAATGGAACGATAAAGGCAGGGATATTTCTATGGTTAATACATTGAGACGAGTAACGAATTTTATATGAGGTAATTACGACGTTTGCGTTGGGGAAGGATTTGTCATCTCTTTGGTAAATTAAATAATCCTAGAAAATTTCTTAATCGCCTAACCGTCATCGATGGTGAGTAATTAAATGTTTAATTGTCAAAAGGGAAAATTATAAAAATATTTTAATATCTTTACCTATTACAGACAATTTCTCAGATTGTATTTCACCTGTATATTATTTATTATTGCGGGTCTAAATTTCAAGTGGATAAATCCAGAATATGATCAGACATAAAATCACCACTATCATCTATCTTGTTTAAGGGCGGTAAATTGATGCCCTTAAAAAAAAGACTCACCAATAACACGAAGATGCTTCCCCCCAAGACAGGAAGTCTCCGTAGTGTAAATCGACAATGGGGTCGTTAACGAATCCAAGAAGACGTCGACGCGTCCCAGATCGACGCCGCGACGCTCGCAGACGCCGCCGAGTGCTTCTCTGAAAGAGAATATAATAATAACATCAGTAAGAAACAAGATCTAGGGTCACACCCGTTATATGGTATACGGTACTGTATCATGATTTCTCTCGATGTGGAACATTTTTATGGGGTTTGTATATGGATGAATGTAACGGCAGATAGCAATATAAGGGGTGGCAAAAAAAAAATAGTGTAAAGCACCCACGACCCCTTGTATTATGGGCCATTTTCACGTGAATAAAAATAAAATAACTTTTATTCCCACAATATTAAACTCGTGCGCGAATTACGGTTTGACCGGAAATAAGTTTCTCGGCCGAAGCACGTTTCCGGTTAAACGTATAGCTATCGGTGTAACGATAATAAATAGTGATTTATTATCATCCAAGAAATATGGTCGACAAGTTAATATTTATATTGTTAATTGAATCATAAAACATTATGTTCATGACAATGAATTATTTTAAAACAACGAAAATGACGTCAGAGATCAATTTTGAAATTGAGAACGCGCGTCAAATGTCAATAATGACACTGGATAAAAAATTAATATTGATTTTCTGCTCGATAATCAATAATCTTATCGTATAATTGATGAATTTTTTGTTTGATCCCACCTTTTTCAAACTCTGTAATAATATTTTATTCCAAATTGCAGATACATACTTGAACCCTGTTGGTAGATTCGTGCTTCGTGTTATACGCCGTTTATGTATCTTTGTATTATATAACGTTTGTCTGTGACTTTTTTCCCTTCTATTTACACAGGGTTTATCGACTTTTCTCGCGAAACCGATCGCACTTTTTCGAGGGAGCTTTGAGTCAGATTCCCGTGATAAAACACGGAAACGAAAGCTTGGATGTAGAAATGCCTGAAGTACCCAGTGGCCAATAGTTTTCGTTATTTTACCAAACCAAATTCACGATTTGTTTCCCCTCTTACGTATAATGTAGAGTTTAGGGACATCCGAGTTTGTAGAATTTGATGCGGTATTACTTATTCATTGCGAATGAGAGAGAGAGAGAGAGAGAGAGAGAGAGAGACCTCTGTTGGTAGCGCGTTATACATTTTCACTCCTTCATAGAACATGCTTTTTTGGGCACTTCTAGTTCTCCTGAATTCTATTGCGATATTTTCCGCTTGTCGTGTAACCCTATCAGTTTTAGATGTCATAATAATGAACTTATTCGCTACTTCTTTCGGCATCAGATTCTTTACGCCCTTGTAAATATATATACACACATTAAAGTGTAGTCTCTGTCTCACACTCATAAACTGAACCGCTTGTAACATAACTTCTATCTTTGTATACCTGCTGCACTGCAATATGACACGCATCGCTCTGTTTTGCGCTATCTGCAGTTTATTGAGCTTAGTCTCATCCATACATACTAACAGTGTAGCACAATATTCAAAATGTGGTGCAATGATTGCCTTATATACGACGCATCTGGTGTACGCTGATATATATTGACCTATCCGATTCAAAAAACTCGTCTTTTTACCTATCTTTTTCAACATATATTCACAGTGGTCTTTAAATCGCAGCTTATCATCGATCATCACTCCTAGGTATTTCATTTCTTCAACTCGTTCGATTTCAGTTCCATCCATACATTTCAGTACGATGTTCCCTCTTAATTCTTTTCTTACACTCCTTACAATCATGCATTTAGTTTTATCCACATTCATTTTCAGCTTGTTCCTGTTCATCCATCCTTCTACTATACACAGTGCCTCGTTCATCTTTCTTTCCACCTCTGCGCTACTTTCTCCAGTTACGTATATTAATTTATCGTCAGCAAACAACTTTATTGCACAATCTTCCCCACATATGTCGACTATATCATTTATATATATAACGAACAACAATGGCCCTAACACTGATCCCTGTGGTACTCCGTATTTTGTTTCTATGATATTTGAAAATTCCTCATTGAACCTAACCTGTTGTGTCCTGTTGCTTAAGTACGATCTGAACCATTCCCATACTT